ATATATGATATATATGATGTCTGGTGTATCGTCATCGGATTCCGTATCGTTCAGGCCTGATAATTTATTTGGCACGCTTGGCGTAATTTTTACGTTCCCTAGTCGCCAACCCTGTTATCGTTTCACTGTTCTGTGGAGGCGCGCGCTGTCAAGATCCTTGTTATATGTCAAGGCGGCTCTCGGCGCTTAACCTCACTTTTGTTCACCCGGCTTTTAGAAGTGGTAATAATTTAAATCTTGCTGCAAAATCTGAATCAGCTGCCATTTCGAAGCTACAGGTAAAGATGAGTTATTGTCTTTTATGGGTTCGATATTGTTATTGAATATTTTTAGGCTAGAGTTTTGAATTAACCCACCTTAACTCGTATTTGTATTTTGCTGACACGTTGGTGTACTTTTGCTGTTGTCCTCCAGAATGTTAAATGGAAGAAAGGACAGTTCTTTTGTTTATTATTGAGCCCTCGGAAGTGTTTCGAGGTAGGTTTATTTTGTTTATTAGACCTTGTTTGGTTTTTTAAATAAGAGTCGTATTTTTAGGGTCTTATGGACGGACTATTTACAAGGTACGGACATTACCCAAGGTCCTAGTAGTATCCAAGATACGGGTAGTGTTCCCCTGTACCGTTATCTTATGGACGGACTATTTACAAGGTACGGGTATTATCCAAGGTCCTAGTAGTGTTCCAAGGTACGGGTAGTGTTCCCCTGTACCGTTATCTTATGGATGGACTGTGTCCAAGGTTATGGTCCATGTTACGGACATTATCCAAGGTCCTAGTAGTGTTCCAAGGTACGGGTAGTGTCCCCATATTGCCACAGTATGGATACAGCGTAAGCCCCATGCTGCTTCGCTCCCATTTCTAAGCCTAGTCAGTAGCTACGGCTGTATTGATTCATGGTGTCCTCATTCTGGCCCCTTTTGTTGTTTTGGCCAACAGGATCGCCAACAGACAGTACAGAGATATGAGCCCACCTCACGCTGCTACTCTTCGAAACAGGATTGCCTCAAGAACAGGTAAGTGTAGATTTAGGTTCTGGTTTTCAGTCTTAACTTAATAACGTACATTTTAAATAATATCGTACAGACTATATTTAGTGGTTAGATTATTAAGAACATTTATGTCGATTTAGTAGTTACAATGATTTAGATTTTAGGTTTCATTACATTACGCCTTGTAATAGTATTACTTTCTATAGATATTATTATTACGCTATATTAACAGATGAATAACCAGACATAGATTCTAGAATCTACAGGTTGCAATATATCAGATTTAACACCGCATAAAATTTAACAATTTAAATAAAGTAATGCTACCTTTCTTATATTTTCTATAACGTTACACGCATTGTATTTTTTCATAGAACATATTTAATATTATTTACATACATAGCCTTTACTCGACATATAACCACCTATAATAATTATTAAAATTGTACAATGCTATTTACCATCAGGATACATCATAAATGAATATAGTCACTAGTTTTAAGTAATAAACAACTATGTTTTCTTTCTCTGTTCATGCCTGGCGCCCAATATTTATAATTTCGAGTTATTATTGTTAATTAGTTCTTTCCAGTGAAATACCTTATCCACGACTGCTCTCCGATGAAAAGCTGCCGTTCGCAGTGGTAATGTTTTATAAAAAACGCTACAATATAAATAAGTTGTATGTCGAAATTATATTAGGAAATTTTATATTAATTCTATACGTTCGTAGGTTGTTTCAGAAAAGATATGTTTTTGAAATAGATTCCCAAGAAATAGAACTATACCAAAACAAATCGATTTTTAATATTCAAATCCAAACAACCGGCAGATACATATCTATCCGTCTCCGGCAACATCTAGACGTAATACGCTGTGTTACAGCAGGCAGACAGCCAGCGATGTGTAAAGAAGTCGTTCTAGCGCATAAATCCAGAATTGGCGCATTGATGAATTTCACAGGTGCATGCTGCAAACAAGCTGTTGCACAGAAACACCCCGCAGCGGCCTTTGTGCCCCCGGTGCGGGGGGTGGCAGAGGTCGAGTCTCTCCGATAGGAAAGTGCAGTATTAGCGCCGCGATGCGAACGGTTAATGCGATCCGGATGCCCGTTTGAGCGTTTGGGTTAGCGGCTCAATCAATTAATGGTCATTTGCTCTGCTAATTGACGGGCATTTCACGCGGCCCGGCCCGATATACTTCACGCCCTCGTGAGTGCATTGTCGTTAAAATATTAATTATCTATTAATTAGTGCGATATTTGTATGAAAAAGGGCACCGGCTGCATACCTAATTCGAAAACGATTCGATTATTTGCTTTTGTCGATCAGATTTGAAGTTTGCAATTTGGGAAAAGTCCATATAGTATACAGATTGTAAATAAAAAAGTTCGAAAAACAAAAAAAAATTAATATATATTTTTTTAAAGAATTCTTCCTAACCGTATGATCGAAAAAGAACGGCGTCAAAGACGGCTGGGGAACGGCAATCGATCATAATTTTGGCGATGGCTACCTCTAGGCATAATTTTTTTAAAAATTTGAAAAAATGTATTGGCTTCTTGGGCGAAATTCAACGTTATCAATATATAATAAATTACTACTTTACCAACAGGTTCTCAAACCTGTATGGGCATATGGCATACAATTGTAGGGTTGTGCTAGTAAAAGCAGTCAAGAAATTATGCAGCGATTCCAAAATGAAGTACTAAGGAGCATTGTCAACGTCCCCTGGCATTTCCGATACAGTGACCTCCACAGGGACTTTGAAGTGGACACGGTTACCCAAACTATCACTTCATTCGCCAAGAGGCACGAAGAAGGACTTCACCACCATGTCAACGTTGAGGCCATCCAGCTACTCGACAACACAACCCACATCAGAAGACTTAAACAGATCAAACCCTTGGAATTAGTGAATATTTGTTAGTGAGGACGCAAATAGTGCTTGTGATACCGTAATTTTAGCAGACAATCTCGTATATCTACAAGAATTGGTAAATAGAGACAATGAAGCTTGTAAGAATTGGGGGCTATCTATTAATCTAAATAAAACTAAATATATGGTTGTGAGTAAAGTCGATGTCGGCGAGACCTCATTATTGTTGAATGGGGAAACGTTGGAGAGAGTGGCGAAGTTTAAATACCTAGGCTGTTGGATTAACCAACATATCGATCCTTCATGCGAAATCAGATTTCGTATAGAACAAGCAAGAAATACATTTCAGAAGTTTAAGTCGCTGCTGTCAAATGGTACACTAAACATTCACTAACAAGAGTGATTAGAATATCTTGGACTACCAGAACCAGAAATGAAGAACTTCTTCGAAGAATGGAGCACGACAGGCTACTTCTGAATATTATCAAGCAACGAAAACTTGAATACCTTGGCCATATAACCAGAGGACCTCGATATGAATTTTTCCGACTGATACTTAACGGAAAAAATCGAAGGAAAGAAGTGGATTGACTGCAAGAGGCTTTCGTGGTTGAGGAACTTGCGGCAATGGACAGGCTTGAGTGCGGATGAATTAATCCATGTAGCGCAAGATAGAGAGCCACTTCTCCAACTCCCAGTGGATGACATACCAAGAATTTACAACTTTGAGAAACACCTCACTGTAGTATTGAGTAATAAAAAGGATTGGAAGAAAGAAACGCTTACTCAGCATATAAAAGACTATACCATCACGTGATATGCTTCCAAAACCAAAGCAGGGACAGGGATAGGAGTATTTGGGCCGAAAACTAAATACTCCGAACCAATGGGTTCCACCTACCCCAGTATCCTTCAGGCAGAAATTTGCGCTATCGAAAGATGCGTACAATTTATCTTAGATAGGAACTATCGAAAACAGGAAATTGCCATCCTATCCGATAGTCAAGCAGCACTTAACGCGATCAGTAACCATCAATTCGAAGTTGGTCAAAGAATGCCTAGAGAAGCTCAACAAATTAGGCAAAGAAAATAAAGTCCTCCTACTCTGGGTGCCTGCTCACCAAGGGATAGAAGGCAATGAAAAAGCAATTGATCTAGCTAGAAAAGGAGCGAACATTCCACTAACTGGACCAGAACCGTTCTGTTTTCCAAACGGGAACCAACTGAAAGCGGAACTGAAGAGTCTGGAAGACTGCATCCGTAACTTGGAATGGGTGTCCTCCAATGGTCTAAGACACTCGAAAAAGTTCCTCAGAACTTATGACCGAGAAAAATCAAAGGTTTTCCTTGATTTAAGTAAAAACAATCTTCGGAATGTCACGGGGTTTCTAACAACGAACACCTCAGTAGGCTGAAACTGAGAAACAACGGCGAATGCAGATTTTGTGGGGAAAATGGGGAAACACCAGAACACTTTATCACTGAGTGCGCCGAGACGACGACCATTCGTGCCATGAACCTTGGTACGTCTGATGTCGAGGATGGAGAACTGGCCTCTGTGGAGCCGTCTCAGATACTGGCTTTTGTTAAAGCCCTGAGACTGTATGATGAGTTACAACTCGTTATAACTCAAGAAAGGGGAACACACAATAGATCTATAAGGTCGCGGTGATTAACTCCCCTCCTAAACATTCTACATTCTACAAGATAGAGAGCGATAGAGATATTGTTAACATGGCAATCGTCAACGTTCACTAGGAACATGACACTTGAAGAAGAAGATTTTATTTTAACCGTTCTGTGCTCCAGAAAAAGTGTGTAGCCAAAGTGTAATTTAACCGTAAAGTACAAGATATTACAAGTACTAAGAGTGTAATTGCATCTAAAAACGCAATTTGATTAATGACGCCCACATACTTTTTAGTGTAAACATTAAAAAAAAATTGGAAAATTAATAATGCCGTGTTATAAAAGAGAAAACCTGCTAATGTCAAATTGGAAATATATTTTCGTTATTTCAAAGATCAATTCTAAAGTTTTAATAAAATCTAAAATGAGTACCAAGACACTATAAACTTAATATTAGTAAGTCATATATACGTAAGACTTATATTAGTACAAACCGACTTACTTGTGTCCATTTCTACTTGCCAAATGTAGAGGAGTATGCGGCAAAACAATGTCCGGCGTGGTCTTCTTAAGACACTGAATCAGCATGGGATCTGTTCTTACCAGAAGTTCCACAGTCTCTAGCCTAAAAATAAAAAAATGAGCCATTATGAATAAAAATAAACGTTTTTCAGTGTTCATTTGATCAACTTGTCTTATAAAATCAATCAGAAAAAATACTATATAGTAGTATCGTTTCCCAGATACATAATTATTTTTTTCTATTAATTTGCTTGAACATACTAGTATGTAAGTATAATACAATCGAGTAACAAAATTGGAAGCACTATTACAAATTAATATTACCTTCCGTATTGAGCTGCAAGTTCCAATGCTGTTTCGCCTTTAGCATTTCGAATGCCCGGATCACAAGCATACTCCAACAAAAGGCTAACAACGGCCGTATGACCGTATTGTGCCGCACAATGCAATGCCGTCTCGTCATCTTCAGTCTGTAACAGAACATATTCTCGGACAAAAAAAGTGTTTTTTACGTTGGTTTCGATTAAACCTAATAAAAAACCTGTACAACTGGGGAATTTTTAACAATTATATTAATACAAAAAAGGAGGAACATAATTATGAAAAATTAATAAAGTTTCTAAAATTTGGATTCCAAATTGAGGCTTTAGGATCACGTTTGCTCCTTACAACATTTTTTTTTTCGTTTTATCTCCAAGTTATCATATAAACACAAGTACGTTTAATCCCGAAATCCGGATATTATATCACGGGATCCTCAAAATCTCGAAAAATTTACGTGCCCAATCTAAAATGATTCGACTTGATATACTAAGAACGTTAATATCTAAAAGTTATATTTTCATGTTTGCTATATTTTTTTTTCAACAAGAATTATTGTTTTTTTTTAATCGCTATTTATATTTGTTACTTTGTTCTGTCTACTTAATAAAGCTCTTTTCTCATTTTCTTTTTGATATATGTATGTAGCTGCATTTTTATTAAGTCTTTAGGTTAAATTTCTCATTCTCTCATTAAATTTCTCATGATAGTCAATCCCTCGATCCCGGGATTATAGATTCTAATCCAAGGAAAACTGTAAAATCCTAAACACGAGTATGCATTATCACTTTTACGTTTTATTATTATATTAATATACCTTTCTCGTTTATTCAAATATGTATCCTACAATTGCGTTTGTGTGTATAATTGTACTAAGGATTGTTTTTATATTATCTGTTATTGTCATCAGATTCATTCCAAAAGAAATAAATTTAAAACTAATTTGCTTGTAGTAGTAAGCTGTCCCGATATATATATATATTGTATATATATATATCAATATATATATATATATATATATATATATATATATATATATATATATATATATATATATATATATATATATATATATATATATATATATATATATATATATAGCATATATATATATATATATATATATATATATATATATATATATATATATATATATATATATATATATATATATACATATATATATATATATATTGGCACTTATCATTCATTTAATATCAATATTGGCTTAATTCTTCCCCCATATTTTAGATAACGTCTATCGAAATCACATACTTTATCACGGGATCAACCATAGTAAAAAAAATACAAAAAGAAGCAGGTATTTAGCAAGCAATACATCTTGTCACAATATTAGTACTGTTGATCTCTTAGGCATTAGTTGATAGCATCTGAGATAACTTTGTGGCGCGCATCTCGAATTCCATCTACTTCAAAGTTATCATACTTATTGCGGTATCTTTTGAATTATACCGAACTTAATATGCAAAGTTTCTCCTATTCCTCGACGGATGATGCTACATAACGGCCGTGTTTCGCTCCCGTTTTGTTGCCAAACTTTCATAATGCAAACAAACTCGCTACGATCTTTTCGACGGCGGCTTCGCGGCCATCGGAGCGTTAGCCGATTCAAATTCAGTCAGCTGCGTCAGTTGCAGTTTCGCTCGCAGATAATTTTCGGAGTTGTCTCTGACGGAAGTCGTTCTTTTATTATGAAAGCTAATTAGAAAAATAATGAGATTTAAATTAAACCAAACCAAACCAAATAATGGACTGGGAATTAGTAACGATCAAAACAGTCGTTGGGAACTTATTGGCCAACCATACAAAAAAAAAGAGATAAAAAATGCTTGCAGTGACTGGAAATTTGCTGCAAATAACAGATCTTCCTGACACCATGTTTCACTAAAGAAATACCTCTACTTTAAATGCAGGATGAATAGTGGCTAAGATACAACAAGAGACATTGTCTTGTGGTTTTAAAACACGCAATAAACCGAAAGAATATGAAAGAGCCCTAGAGAAATGGCTCAAAAGAAAAAAGCCCAAGAGAAAATAATACAAAAATTCTGTAATAGTTGAAGACCACAATAGTAAATGCAAAGAAACAATGGTCAGACGAGACTAGGTTAAAACTCATTAACCTCTCGAGCCATGTAAATGGGCTATAAGCACCGAAACAGATAAGACATTTATTAAAGAGATATTTATCTTATTTAATAACATCTGAGATAACTTTGTGGCGCTCATCTCGAGTTCCATCTATTTCAAAGTTATCATACTTATTGCGGTATCTTTTGAATTACACCGAGTTTGATATGCAAAGTTTCTCCTATTCCTCGACGGATGATGCTACACAACGGCCGTGTTTCGCTCCCGTTTTGTTGCCAAACTTTTATAATGCAAACAAACTCGCTACGATCTTTTCGACGGCGGCTTTGCGGCCATCAGAGCGTTAGCCGATTCAAATTCAGTCAGCTGCGTCAGTTGCAGTTTCGCTCGCAGATAATTTTCGGAGTTGTCTCTGACGGAAGTCGTTCTTTTATTATGAAAGCTAATTAGAAAAATAATGAGATTTAAATTAGATTAAACTCGTCCCGAGGACGGAACTAAAATATTTCGTTGGCCAAATTTACGGTCCTTTATTCTTTATTATTTCTCTTCCTACATTATGTTAACAAGTAGTAATTAAGTTAAAGAATTAAGTGCTCACCTAATATAATCGTTTATATTTCTAAAAGATTGTGCTACAGAACAGCCCGGCCATGGTATTTTGATTTGAAATTTTGCCAAATAATGGACTGGGAATTAGTAACGATCAAAACAGTCGTTGGGAACTTATTGGCCAACCATACAAAAAAAGAGATAAAAAATGCTTGGAGTGACTGGAAATCTGCTGCAAATAACAGATCTTCCTGGCACCATGTTTCACTAAAGAAATACCTCTACTTTAAATGAAGGATGAAAGTGGCTAAGATACAACAAGAGACGTTGTCTTGTGGTTTTAAAACACGCAATAAACCGAAAGAATATGAGAGAGCCCAAGAGAAATAGCCCAAAAGAAAAAAGCCCAAGAGAAAATAATTCAAAAATTCTGTAATACTTGAAGACCACAATAGTAAATGCAAAGAAACAATGGTCAGACGAGACTAGGTTAAAACTCATTAACCTCTCGAGCCATGTAAACGAGCTATAATCACCGAAACAGATAAGACATTTATTACAGAGATATTTATCTTATTTAATAACATATTAATTCGAATGATTCGAATTCAGTCAGCTGCGTCAGTTGCAGCTTCACTCGCAGGGAATTTTCGGAGTTGTCTCTGACGGAAGTCGTTCTTTTATTATGAAAGCTAATTAGAAAAATAATGAGATTTAAATTAGATTAAGCTCGTCCCGAGGACGGGGCTAAAATATTTCGTTGGCCAAATTTACGGTCCTTTATTCTTTATTATTTTTCTTCCTACCTGTAATAGTGGAAGACCACAATAGTAAATGCAAAGAAACAATGGTCAGACGAGACTAAGTTAAAACTCATTAACCTCTCGAGCCATGTTAAACGGGCTATAAGCACCGAAACAGATAAAACATTTATTAAAGAGATATTTATCTTATTTAATAACATCTGAGATAAGTTTGTGGCGCATCTCGACTTCCATCTACTTCAAAGTTATCATAGTTACTGCGGTATCTTTTGAATTATACCGAATTTAATATGCAAAGTTTCTCCTCTTCGTCGACGGATGATGCTACATAACGGCCGTGTTTCGCTCCCGTTTTGTTGCCAAACTTTTATAATGCAAACAAACTCGCTACGACCTTTTCCACGGCGGGCTTCGCGGCCATCGGAGCGTTAGTTGATTCGAATTCAGTCAGCTGCGTCAGTTGCAGTTTCTCCAGCAGGGAATTTTCGGAGTTGTCTCTGACGGAATTTGTTCTTTTATTATAAAAGCTAATTAGAAAAATAATGAGATTTAAATTAGATTTAACTCGTCCCGAGGACGGGACTAAAATATTTCGTTGGCCAAATTTACGGTCGTTTATTCTTTATTATTTTTTTTTCGTACATTATGTTAACAAGTAGGGTCGAATTAACTGTTGACCTAATATAATCTTTTATATTTTTAAAAGATTGTACTACGGAACAGCTCCGCCCAGGCATTTGATGTGAAATGTTGCCAAATAATGGACTGGGAATTAGTAACGAACAAAAAAGTCGTTAGGAACTTATTGGTCAACCATTCAAAAAGAGATCTGAGTGGAAATCTGCTGCAAATCACAAATCTGACTGGCACCATGTTCCAGTAAAGAGACAACTCTACCTTCAATGCAGGCTGGATAGTCAAGAAACAAAAAGACACGTTGTCTTGTGGTTTTAAAACATGCAAGAAACAGAAGTTCAAGACAGATCAAGAGATAATAATACAAAAATTCTGTAGTAGTTGAAGACCACAAAAGCAAATGCAAAGAAACAATTTTCAGAAGAAACTAGGTTAAAACTCATTAACCTCTAGAGCCATGTAAACGAACTATAAGCACCGAAACAGATAAGGCATTTATTAAAGAGATATTTATCTTATTTAATAACATCTGAGATAAGTTTGTGGCGCATCTCGACTTCCATCTACTTCAAAGTTATCATACTTACTGCGGTATCTTTTGAATTATACCGAATTTAATATGCAAAGTTTCTCCTCTTCGTCGACGGATGATGCTACATAACGGCCGTGTTTCGCTCCCGTTTTGTTGCCAAACTTTTATAATGCAAACAAACTCGCTACGATCTTTTCCACGGCGGGATTCGCGACCATCGGAGCGTTAGCCGATTCAAATTCAGTCAGCTGCGTCAGTTGCAGCTTCACTCGCAGGGAATTTTCGGAGTTGTCTCTGACGGAAGTCGTTCTTTTATTATGAAAGCTAATTAGAAAAATAATGAGATTTAAATTAGATTTAACTCGTCCCGAGGACGGGACTAAAATATTTCGTGGGCCAAATTTACGGTCGTTTATTCTTTATTATTTTTTTTTCGTACATTATGTTAACAAGTAGGGTCGAATTAACTGTTGGCCTAATATAATCGTTTATGTTTTTAAAAGATTGTACTACGGAACAGCTCCGCCCTGGCATTTGATGTGAAATGTTGCCAAATAATGGACTGGGAATTAGTAACGAACAAAAAAGTCGTTAGGAACTTATTGGTCAAACATTCAAAAAGAGATCTGAGTGGAAATCTGCTGCAAATCACAAATCTGACTGGCACCATGTTCCAGTAAAGAGACACCTCTACCTTCAATGCAGGCTGGATAGTCAAGAAACAAAAAGACACGTTGTCTTGTGGTTTTAAAACATGCAAGAAACAGAAGTTCAAGACAGATCAAGAGATAATAATACAAAAATTCTGTAGTAGTTGAAGACCACAAAAGCAAATGCAAAGAAACAATGATCAGAAGAAACTAGATTAAAACTCATTAACCTCTAGAGCCATGTTAAACGAACTATAAGCACCGAAACAGATAAGGCATTTATTAAAGAGATATTTATCTTATTTAATAACATCTGAGATAAGTTTGTGGCGCATCTCGACTTGCATCTACTTCAAAGTTATCATACTCACTGCGGTATCTTTTGAATTATACCGAATTTAATATGCAAAGTTTCTCCTCTTCGTCGACGGATGATGCTACATAACGGCCGTGTTTCGCTCCCGTTTTGTTGCCAAACTTTTATAATGCAAACAAACTCGTTACGATCTTTTCCACGGCGCGGCGGGCTTCGCGGCCATCGGAGCGTTAGCCGATTCGAATTCAGTCAGCTGCGTCAGTTGCAGTTTCTCTCGCAGGGAATTTTCGGAGTTGTCTCTGGCGGAAGTCGTTCTTTTATTATGAAAGCTAATTAGAAAAATAATGAGATTTAAATTAGATTAAACTCGTCCCGAAGACGGGACCAAAATATTTCGTTGTACAAAGTTACGGTCGTTTATTCTTTATTATTTTTCTTTGTACAATATATTAACAAGTAAGGATGAATTAACTGTTCACCTTATAAAATCGTTTTTATTTCTAAAAGACTGTGCTGCTGAACAGCTCGGCCCTGGCATTTGATGTGAAATTTTGCCAAATAATGGACTGGAAATTAGTAACGAAAAAAAAAGTCATTGGGAACTTATTGGCCAACAATACAAAAAAAAAGAGATAAAAAATTCTTGGCAAATTGAATCCGGGAGGGCAGAGTACTGGGTCAGTTATCAAGTGATGAAGGTCAGGATTATTTTGTGACCATTCATCTCGCCAGCAGTCTTCAACCCGAAAGTTGGAATTTAGTAGCTGCTGCCCTAATACCCATGGCGGTTTTTTGGATTTCAGGCGATTTAAGAAATTTTCGCAATTATCATGGATGGGCAGATGAACATTGCTGGTGTACTTTTTCCACTCTCTGACTATATCTTACCAGTACCAACATATCTTACCAGTACCATGTTCGAGTTCACAAGAGACACGTCTACCTTCAATGCAGGCTGGATAGTCAAGAAACAACAAGACACGTAGTATTGTGGTTTTAAAACACGAAAGAAACAGAAAGAATATGAGAAACCAAGAGAAAATAATACAAAAATTCTGTAGTAGTTGAAGACCAAAAAGCAAATGCAAAGAAACAATGATCAGAGGAGACTAGATTAAAACTCATTAACCTCTCGAGCCACGTCAACGAACTATAAGCACCGAAACAGATAAGATATTTATTAAAGAGATATTTATATTATTTAATAACATCTGAAATAAGTTTGTGGGACATCTCCACTACCATCTTCTTCAAAGATTAAGAATCTTCTTGAATATTCTTCAACATGAAGAATGTTTAAGTCATTGTTATTTTCTTCCTGTTCAATTATTATTATTTTCACACTTCCATGTGTTTAATGCCTTAATGCCTATAATTTCAAACCTCCGGTTTGTTCTTTAACCTGTTGACTTATTCGGTATAGACTTTCTGGAGACTGAGCTGTGAACATATATCTAACACAGTGGGAATACTATTTCCAGCTGGTATTTTTATTGTAGCTTTCTCTTTCTTCTGATTTTTGCAAATAACTTTTAAATGGCTATGAAACGAAATTCTACACGAAAGCACAACTTTAAAGCCTCTTCAAAAGAGTCTAATACAACGTTTGCACAAAATCATCTGGGGAGATATTATTTGACCTTTTTAAAATTAACATTTGATTTCGTATGTCCCACGTTCTGATGCACCACACGGTATACCCAGTCTCTCTAACTCTATATGCAAAATATAAAAGACAACCCTCGTATTGATTAAAAATTATGTTTAAATGGTATAGTTCAAAACTCGAGAAAAAATAGTATTTTAGAAGTAGATTTTTGTGAGTTTGTTTATGCGTTCTGTTTTTTTTTTTCATCTTTATATATTTATTGTTAATTTTTGATAAGTTGTATGCCAATTTTTATTAAATGACGTCTAGAGATGCCAAAGGTTGCTCTAGGCCTTGCCAAAATTATCATCGATTGTCATTCCCCACCGTCTTTGACGTTGTTTATTCGATTATACGGTATAACAATAAAAGTAATAGATTTAAAAGGAAAAGAGTAATAATTTTAAAAAGAGATTGACTCTTAAAATTCACAAAATTCATAATCTAAAAGGTGGAAAAGATTTGTTCTTTGAAACTTACGGTTAAGTTAACGTTGCATTTGAACGACCTTGATAGAAGAAGTTTCACTATCTCCAAATTTCCAGACCAGGCAGCCAAATGCAAAGGAGATGATCCTTTAATATCGACGATATTGGGCGAAGCGTCATGTTCAAGTAAAAGTCGAACTATATCTCTGTAAAAAATGATATCATGTTCTTGGTATATATCGTATACCTAGTTAAAACAACTGCCATGCCATAACAGGTTTCAAGATTAAAGTCAATTTAATCATGCAAAAAGAGGATTTATGATATCATATTTTAAAATTTTAGCATACTTGAACACAATTTTACTTACGTGTGTCCATTTAAAGCGGCATGATGTAAACAAGAATAACCGCTACTATCTTGAACATTGACGCCAGGACCTCTTCGTAAACTGAAAGAAAATATTTTTATTGTAAAAAAAATATTTGTTATAAATCAAAATACACTCTGTGTACGACTAAAGAGATTAGTGTCTGTCATTTTAATTTAATTCACAAGTAAATGGTATTTTTTGGATGTGTGTCGAAATCTTCCGATTCGCTAGACAAGCTAGAAGCTATTAGTACGAGAGCTAGCAACGTCAATAAAACAAGTATTTTAAGACGTCTGGCTCTTTGATATATCTTTTACTATGCTCTCTAGAACAGCATAGTAAAAGACAATACTTTAATAAATCGAAAAATAATCGTAAAACATATAACATATACTTACTTAATATCTATTCATCTATTAAAATGTTTGACCGATTTTTAAAGTTATTTCGTGTGACTTCATTAGACTTCTATATGGCGAAATTTATTTTGAAATTATGAAGTGCCAGAAATCCGGTATTCGAATACCATTTCGTTCTCAAACTCTAGTGACTAGTTTCTTCAGGACTAGTTTCTTCTGGTGTCATATTATATTTTTATTACCGAGGAATATAATCAATCTCAAAAAATATGCTGGTGTCATGGTCACTTCTGCCTTCCCTAATAATTTATCTTCTAGTCCATTCCAAATTTCTACCTACATTTTGTTCTGCAATTAGTGCTTTGCATTTTGAACATTAGATGGCACTAATTTTATTCTCGACTTCGAAAAAGACAGTCGTGACTATTTCAAAAAAAATGCCTTTGATCTAAGCGAGCGATATTTTTTGCGGAAATGGGGGAATCGGAAAGTTTACAGAATAAAATACATATATCGTCGACTTTATGACCAAAAGGCGTATCTCGATTTTTGCTAGTTTTCAGGAGAGCAATTTAAAGAAAATCACTTACTTCATTGGGCCAATAAATGTAAAGTCTATAATTTTTTAATACCTAGTTTTTTTGTATGAACACTCAACAGACATTGAGATAACCGAGGAGATAACGTTCCAAAGATAAATTGAGTATTAAACACTTTTATTCGCGTTGGATTAAATCAAGAGAAAACAAAGACAATGTTCATTCTAGAAGTAAAGTCAGTAATAAATTAAAATACTCTTATTAATATTGTTTTTTATATAAAAATATATATCTTTTTAACTAATATATTTTTAGTAATTATATAGTTAATTGAGTTGAATAACAGATTTATCACCACAGTTCAAAAGGGTTGTAGATCTTTACATTTTCGTAATATTATAGGTTTTGGCTCTGAGTTTAGTTTAGTGATGCTGAAAGAATTAGCTATTGTTTTAGGGTTACTGTTCTATAACTTTCACGAATTACCGGTAACAGCTGGTTGGGCATAAATAATTGGCCCGTTTTTTTTTTCGATGTACTTAAACAGCCGTTAAACGGTAGCCTAGTAAAATGCCGTTAATAGATATTGTGACGTCGTTCATGTCGGCGGAAAGTAATGCCTGGTCTTAAGCATTCTGCAAGAGCACCTGTGGGTCAGTGGCTGAGGCTATCGCTTCGTAAGCGAATGGTCCGTGGTTCAAATCTCACGCCGACCAAGACTTTTTTATATTTTTTTGCTTATAGCGTGATCTTATTGCATTGGTTTCACTCTTTTTAGTTGGATTGGTTTAGTTACTTGGCGTGTTGGTTAGCGTGGTTATTTAGAGGGTGTTAATTCATTGGTTAGTTGGTTATTTGGTGGGGTTGGTTGATTTTTACTAATTTATATTTGTTTTTTATATTTTTTATCAGTGTCGAGGTTAGTTGCGTTGGTTAAGTTGGTTATTTGGTGGGGTGGATAGCGTTGGTTAGTCCTTATAAAATTCATATATTTCATAAAGCCGTCAAGTGCTTCACATCAACGACGTCATACCTATTAACGGCATTTTAGTAAGCTACCGTTTAACGGCAGTTTAAGTACAGTCTTTTTTTTTAGGCATTCGGGAAAATCCGGGAAAAACAATGACGCAACTGTTACATGATTCATTTTACAGGGAAAAAACTAAGCGTTGAAATTAAAAATGGCCATAATAAATCAGATGCAATAATTAAGGAAACAACTATTTCTTTTTTTTAACAAGGATTCCGAACCGCAGTCTTATACATATAATGGCACACTTATAGTCTTATCAATTGTCTGGGATAACTCTTTATATATTAGAAAATAGCATTTAACAGAAACTTATTAATATTGAAAACAAATAAAGAAAAACAACAATTACCGTATGATCGAAAAAAAATTCGGCGTCCAGTTGGCTTGGAAATGACGATTGATGACATTTCTCATATATGAGAAACCATCGCCGACGCCGGTTTTTTTTCGATCATATTGTATACAGGCCAATACAGGGTGAGTTTCCTACGATATTCTCTATGGGTATCTCGGAAACTATTGGAGATAGAGAGTCGGTTAAATGGCGAAAGAATTGCAGTTTTGTGGGGTCATAAATATGCGCCTTTCAGATTTTTGAAAGAGTTCATGGCTTACTAGATATTTCGAAAAAACAAATTTCTGCATTTATAAAAATTATCCCTAATTCCATTATAAGCTACCGTATGATCGAAAAAAACGGAGTCCAGTTGGCTATGAAATGAAGATCACTGTCATTTTATATGTAAAATTATATAGAAAATGTCATCGATGTTCATTTCCAAGCCAACTGGACTCCGTTTTTTTTTCGATCATACGGTATTTTAGACAAAAAGTTTTCAGATAAAAGTTGTAGATAATCACATCTTTAATGAGACTGTGTCCTCCGTTTTTTTCTGAAGCCTGTCTTGACATATGACACAAACATATGTTTTTTTTTAAAATGGAAACCATAGTTGGCCATGACTTTATAAAAAGGGTCATTTTTTAGGCTTTTCATCGATATAAGCTATAATATGTTTTCTTCGAAAAATTATCGAGTTATAGCCAATTCTTATCATTTTTAAATAATATCACTTAGTTAGCCATGGAAACAAGTTTAATCGTCTTTGCTTTCATAAATGTGAAGCTGTCACATCCAAACTTTGCAAATTAAACTAAACAGAAATTGTAAATATGAATTTTTCAAATGAAGAAAAGCGTGTAATATTATTGGTTCAAATTTTCTTGACCATACATTTTCGAGGATACGTTGACCGGTGAATGTTATGTTTTTTTAGAGAACAATTCTCAAGACTTGTTAGAAAAATTATATTTAGTTATAGCCAATTCTTATATTTCTTAACTAATTTCACTTAGATTGCATGGCATTCTTATTATGTTATGATTTATAACTTTTAAAAAGTCAGAATATATTTCTAAACGGTTCTTTAGAATTTACATTACACAAACTAAAACTTAAAAAAATAAGATCACTGCAGTCACTGCATACACTTTAAGTTATTTTAGAAAATGTTCAAAATATCCGCCATGGTTTTGGGTTACATCTTTTTAAAACTGAATTATTACTTATTCTCACAGAAGGACCGGTCGACTTAATTAAATTTCTGTCGTACCGCCACTTCGAGTGCCTCTCTTAATTCATAAGTTCTTTTGTAAACCTTATTTTTAACCATACCGCATTAAAAAAATTTAAAATGGATAGGTCAGGTGATCGAGGAGGCCCATGCAATTAGTCCACCTCTTCCTATCCCTGAGTTTATATTATAATGATATAAATAATTTTTAACATTTCTTTCATTATGGGGGGGGGTCATTTGGAAACACTCTATTGATGCGCGAGTAACTACACGCTTTTCTTCATTTGAAAAATTCATATTTACAATTTTTGTTTATTTTAATTTACAAAGTTTGGATGACAGCTTCACATTTCTGAGAGCAACGGCGATTGAACTTGTTTCCATGGCTAACTAAGTGAAATTGTTTAAAAATGATAAGAATTGGCTATAACTCAGTAATTTTTCGAAGAAAACATGTTATAGCTTATATCGATGAAAAGCTTAAAAAATGGCGCTTTTTATGAAGTCATGGCCAACTATGGTTTCCATTTAAAAAAACATATGTTTGTATCATATGTCAAAAATGACAGGCTTTAGAAAAAAAACGGAGGACATGATCTCATTAAGGATGTGATTATCTACAACTTTTATCTGAAAACTTTTTCTCTAAAATAGCTTATAATGGAATTAGGGACAATTTTTAAAATAGCCGAAATTTGTTATTTTCGAAATGTCTAGTCAGCCATGAACTTTTTCAAAAATCTGAAAGGCGCATATTTATGACCCCACAAAACTGCAATTCTTTTCCCATTTAACCGACTTTCTATCTCCAGTAGTAGTTTCCGAGATACCCATAGAGAACATCGTAGGAAACTCACCTTGTATAAGGGACAGATAAGAATTGGCAGTTTAAACTTAAAAAACAAAAATTAAAAAAAAAACGGGCCCCTTATATTTTCTAGTAACTTTTGATCATAACTAGCTATCCGATATCTAATTAAAGAGATAATTAATATACCTAACTCTTTTATATTAAATTTTAAACTAATGGGTAAATATTTATTAAAATCAGTATGCAAATATTTTTCTTCAAATTCATCTGATAATAGAAATAGATATAATGCATAACCTTAAGCAATTATCTAAGTATACATAAGTTGTTAATGAAGAAACCTTAATAGAAAATAAAACTATTGATCTTCAGTTAGAGTTCAGTCAATGGAAGGTCATTACCACACCTTTCCGAAACTGTTGGGAAAGGCCACGACCTTCATAATAAAAACAAAAATAAAACGTACTAAACAGGATAAAAATAAAAATTCTTGTCACCTCTTTTATGAACAAAGATGATTTAAAAAAAATGACACTGTTTAAAATAAAAAGATAATGCAAAAAATGATGATAAAATAACGGAATCATTCTAATTATATAAAGTGATCAAATAACAATTATAATTTTAATCAAATTCAATAAAACATAAGTAAATATGCAATATGATCAACAAGTATTAATAAGCATTAAGTCAGGGGTGTTTAATTTTACATAATGACAGAAAAACAATACTTTGGTATAGAAAATTATACCTATTAGACTTTGTTTAATTTTCAAATTAAAAGCACTGCATCATAATTTTTTTGATGACAAGGTAGCTAACCAAAATACGCCTATATACCTACTTTAAACGAATTTAGTATTTTAATATGTTAAAAAATTGAACATTTTTCGTAATCAAGGGTTAAAATTTACGCGGGGTGTGGCGGTTTTGAACTTACAATCGATTTTAACTTGCCAAGTTAAAGTTTAGTGTATAATAAAAAAAACATTATGCGTTTGACATATTTTCCATATTACCGAAAAAAAGTTGTTTCTATTTAATTATAATAATAATAACAGTTGATATTTCTAAAAATACCTCTCTTTACCTACTTAAATAAAACTTCAACTGATGACCTAGTGTGTATTCATGTTATTATTTTTATTTACCTTCATATTTTCTCAGATCAAAAGTTAATAAGCAATGTAATAAAAATAACAACAGTATAAACTTTGTAATTAATATATACCTACCTACCTATGTATTTATATTACCAATAAACCCCCCCCTTACAATTTAAGAAAACAAACATTAGAAAAGTAATACATTAAATTGCAATTCTTCTTTAACTTATATTGAATTACTGTAAATTGCTTATAATATATAGGGGTATAGGTAAACAATTATTGTATTTTTGGATCAACTATAATACAATGGATTTAAGATTTAAGTATAGGTACCTAATAAAGTACAATACCTAAGTTAATAAACACAAAGTTTTACCTTTAATTTTTCAACAACAATATGAGAACAGCCTACTGTTCTTTTAATTAAGCTCTCAAAAAAAAAGGTTTCACTACATTTACACATATACAATATATTTAATTACTGGTCATGAAGTTTATTAACATAATACCCCATATTTATTTACATTATACTATACCATAATAATTTTAATGTTAAAAAATATATTATCGACTTTAAATCTAACAATATATTTAATATTTTCGAAACCACAACAGACAAGAGATTTAATAACAAATACAATTTGACAGCTGATTTTAACCCACCTTGCTAGAGGACCACTCCTTTTGGCTCGCTGACCCAATATTTTCTCTACAACGGCTGTATTTCCTTTTCTGGATGCTTCCAAAAGTTCCTGGTCCTTACCCATTCTCAAGAAAATATTAGGCATTCGGTTTCAACATTATTGTTCACATTTTTACGCACGATTATTGTACTATTGTACTTAAATTCATTGATTACCGGCAACCATATTGAAACTGGCGCGCCTCTATCGGCCACTAGTTGAGGTATTTTACATCGCTGAACAGAAAACTATCGATTGCAGCAACAGAGGCGCCTAGCTGACAAAACACGATATAAAGCTGGGCCACAGCGCCATGTTGCCAAGTATAATGAAATAAATAAAAGACATAGGAAAGTTGAACCAGAAAGTTATTACTATTTAATTACATATTCTTTTAATTTCTTTCTTAAATACAAAGTATCAACATATATAGTATTAACATTATACATTTACTATTTCTAAAGTAATTATATATAAATTGGCTATATACAAATACAAAAAATATCCTTTATAGGTGTCTCGCATGCTTTTTTCGGATATTTGGCAACATTCCATGAATGGAATTCAACAAGAACTGTAGTTGGTAAAGTGGTCGTACGGTGTGATACGGGTGGTACTGTTTTTTTGGTTAGGTTTTGCAACAAATGTTTTGAAATTTCTTTCAGTAATCATGTTTTTGACATTTCCGTTGATCATTTTATTGTTTATGAGCCAGATATATTTGTCCTTAGGTACAGGAAATAGTACTGAAGCTTATGATCCTTGTAAGTACAAATAAAGTAATTAAAATTTTATAGTATAGGTGACTGGGATTCCCCGAAAATAACATACCAATCAACATTTGTTGCTTAATATATAAAATAATATAGTAGCGTTTATTGAAAGAACTGAAATGAATTTCCTTCAATCAACGATAGTAGTAAATTCTAAAATATTAATTAAGTATAAAAGTTATAAATTAAGTACCTATAATATATTTTTTTGTTTTCTTTTTTACTTCTGAAAATATTCAATATAAAAAAAATCATAATTAGATTAAAAGTAAAAGGTCATTTTAGATTTAGATTAGTTACTATTATAATGGTAGTACCAAATTAAAATATATCTAATATAAGTACATAATATAAGTACCGGGTGGCCAACTATATAAGAATGGACGCCGGCTGTAAATTAAAATAAGTAAATCGACCAAGAAAAATCGCTGGAAATTATTCTCAAGTTCGAAAAATGTCCGCTAGGAGGCGTTTCTCTGATAGCCAATCAGAAAACAGGGTCTTTCTCAAAAATATGCAGGTGAACAGGTATTTTAAATATTACTATTGCAATCATCGAGAAATTTGTAATTTTTTTGATATAGAGTGTTTTGCTCTATCTCATAAAATAAATTGGTGGGGGAAGTTTAAACTAGCTTTAATTAAAATAAGGCTAACTCTGGTTTGGCTTAACCGATTCAAACAAACTAGGGCTCGTTTGAAAGAGCTTTTCTTCGTTTCTTTGATTTACTTCTTTTTGTTTCCTAGCCTACTACTCTAATTTTTAGACCATATAATCTTGAGCGGCAGCCTAACATGATTTGTTCTCTTAATATCTCCGGTTAGAGACAAGATAGAAAGTTGCGGTTTGCGCTGATATTTTGGAAATGTTGTGCTCTATTTAACTGTGCGAAGAGAAATATAGCCTCCTATTTAAATTTTTCATGCAAAAGCGCAATATCTGTTATGATGTCAAACAGCGCCCTCTAGCTACCACGTAAAAAAATATGGAAACAAAGTTTATCATGTATATCAGCGCCCTATCTAGGACACTTCCACTGGCTCTGATAGAGTTAGGGCTATACAGGGTGTCACAAAAATAAGTACAAGTATTGTAACTGGTAGTATAGTTCAACCCCAGAAACACGCATATGAGGTTTTTTTCGCGAAAAAAAAAATTTGAAAATTCGAAATATTTTTGAAAAAATTTTCGAATTTTTTTCAGTTTTTAGATAAAAATCATAATTTCTTGATAATATGGCAACATAGGTATTATATTTAATTTACAAGAAAGAAAATCAAGAAAAGATCCAGTGGTTCTCAAAATTTTAGCAAAAAATCATTTTTTTTTTGGAAATTTTCAAAAGATCGACCACCCCCTAAGAGAGATCTACCACCCCCTAAAATACTCGCACTTATTACTGGGAAACCCTAGTTTTCTACCTTTTCTGAGCGCATCAAAACGTTTTTTACGTTAAAGAAGCAGCATGTTATCTCTTACTGCTCTTATTTCTGAATTTATTTTGAAGTTTCTATAATGTTTATTAGCAATTATTGAAGTTTAAATATGTTATTTTATTATGAAGTAGAATATTGCTAAATGTATTAGTTATATTTTTTTGTGTTATGTTTTCATAGGCATTTGCATCTTGAATTGAAAATGTAAGTTTTTTCGTCAAATTTAGTTAAGTTGGTTTCGAGGTTGGTTGATGTTTTTTGATGTAATTTTTAAGCTATACCTGTGTGTTTTCTTTTTTTTTTTCGCTTGTGTTCATTTGTGTTCATGTTTACTTTCTCATGACTTATAATAATTTGATATTATTTTCATTTGAAACTAAATTTTTTATCGGTTTTAATTTTGAGAACCATCCCTTGCTTGCTGATTGACGAACTCCACAATCATTGAACGAAAATATTTTAGTGCGGTTCCAGAAACTCTAATTAATACTGCCAATTAGGGCTCAAATATTTTTGGCCATCACAGAACCGGGCCTCGAAATTAATTTATGGTTCTTCTGGACTCGGTAACAATAATAAAAAATGATTTTTTTGTTACCTGAGAAAGTTCTTTGGTACTTTCTAGCGGTCGAAATCAAACTTTTCTAAACAAGTAATGATGGTATTTCTTATTGTTCATGCTTCTTTTCTCTTTTGAAGTTCCTATAATATTTATTATGTTATGTTTTAATAGATATTTGTATTTTTAATCCAATATTTTAGGGTTTTTTCTCAAATTTAGTTAAGTTGGTTTATGATATTGTTTGATGTGAAATTGAAGTTACCTATACTTTTTTCTTTACTTGTGTTGTGATTTTCTCATGACTTAATAATTTAATATTATTTTTATTAAAAATCTCAATATTTTATCCATTTTACTTTGGAAAATAATACCATGCTTTCTAATTGATGAACTGCACCACCACTGAACAAAAATTAGTCAGTACCGAAAGTACCGAAAAGAAAAAACGGGAAATCCCGGTTCTTAAGAGGCGCGGTACCGAAATTGCCTGTTCCGAAAAACAGATCCGGTTCCGTATACCCTAGTCTATACCCTAGTCCCTCTTATATTCTACTAGTATATTTTCTCATTCAATATTTGATCTTTTATTTTCAGCTATTACATTGGATTTATCGGATCTGAAATCAAAGGATTTTTATTTAAACAACTTTACAATATCAGATCCTCTTACGAAAATCTTTATTCTTAATCTAAATGACAATACGAGCTTTTTCGTTTTGCAAATTCATGCTTATTTGGGAACTGTGGCGCTTTCACACACTGAAAAACTCGAACCGTTGAAACATGTAAATGGCAGCAATATTGGTATCTATTGGGGAAAGAATATGGAAAGTGTTGGTAGACCAATTACATTTTATGTAAGAAGACTTAATCCAGTACAAGATGCAATTAATATTATGCTTGCAGTACATACTTACGAGAAATCAGGTAAGAGCATAAAACTGATTTACCTAAGAATAGAGCAGGGTCGGACAGCACCAGAGGGGCCCGGGTTAAAAAATTTTATTTACAAGATGAAAAGCAAGATTTTAGCATTTCTTTCGGCACACCATTTTTCGTATACTTTCAATGCTATTTCATATCGCCCCCTACTTTTCTCTGGAAGTAAACTGGCTTCTGCTCTTTTTGCAGCTTCTGTAAGTTCTGGTGGAGTACCAATATTAAAGTAGTCTTCATTATCAGAAATTTCCGACAACATTCTGGCATTCTATGTTATATCAATTCGAAAAAGCGAACGAGAAATTCAAAACTGTCCCTTAGTTGTTTGTTTTGCTGTTGAAGGTTTGCGCCATAACAACCCCTGGTACCGGTAACTATAGATATGGAAATGCCAAAACAGAAAACTACAAATTTTCGCATATTTATTTTTTTTCAAAATAAAATACTGTCCCTATTTTTTAATTAATGATGTGGTTGTAAATAAAATGGTATACAAACCTCGGAGGAAAGTTTTCATTATTGTTTCGAGATTTAGTTAATCTCTCGACAGTAATGAACCACTTTCCTCGGTATGTAATATACTATTATCCATTTTTTCGTCTTACATTTTGGGTAATTTTTCGCTATATTAATTACCGAGTACCGAACTACCCGAAATGCAATGCAAATGTAAATATAGTTAATCCAAAAAAGATTTTGGGGATAACCTCTGTGCAGAAATGCAGTTGTGGACTGTATTAATTTTAAATTTTAGTTTGACTGGTCTTATTTTATCAATGTAAATTACGTTAATAGCTGGGAGAAACCGCACAGAGAAATGAGAAACCTGCTCCTACCTTTAATGGTCGTCTCAGACAGCTTCAGAGGGCCCTCTTCTCGATCTTGAGCTTCTCAGCGGTAATTTTCACACATATACTAACATGAATCGCCTTTGAAGGGATTTAACTTTTAAGTTCAGACTTTCGGCGCGTTCCGGTTAGCTGACCAATTTCGTCGTTTGTAATAGACTGTGTGCCACACTTCCTAGTGTTCGGGCATGCGTACACTAATGTTGCAGGAAGCAGGTATAAGTGCGGCAATTTAAAATTTAAAGAAATTAAAATAATTAATCTTAATCTAAGATATTACATAAAAGAAAATAATTTTATAAAAAATATTAAGTTTCCTTAACATTCCACCCACCAAAACCTATAGTTTTTAAAAATAAGATAAAGTAAAAAAAATAATAATAATGCTAGGTTAAGAATAAAAAAGTATAAAGAATTATTTTACCTTATTAGTTGCCAGGTAAAGGGCAAACCTTGACAACTGGTCTTTGTAATATCCCATGTGCAGTTTTAAGGGTAACTACACGAACAATATTATCTTTTCCGGGATGAAGCTTTATGACTCTACCCAATTCCCAAGATACGGAGATTTTGTTTCATGTTTGATTAGAACTAATGAATTCAATTTTATCAGGAGTAGGTTCGGTCCATTTATGCCGTTCTTGCATTAAATGTACATACTCCTGAGACCAACGTTTCCAAAAATCAGTATGCATGCGTTGTATCAATTGCCATCTTGACAATCTATTAAGAGGGATGGAGGTCAGATCAGGTTCTGGAAAACCAATTGTTAAGGGTTCTAAGGTCAGAAAGTGACCGGGAGTTAGTGGATCTTTCAATTGGCTCGATTTTCCTTATTCAACGTTAATTAGTGCTGATCAATATTATTGCGATGAATATAATCAGATTAAATAAGTGTTCTTTCAAAACTGAAATAAAAAATGCAGGTCCGTATTTAAAAAAATTAAGTCGGTCTCTGTATCTCAAATTATCAACATTTGCCAAAGTTAATCCAAAAAATATCCTTTAGGCAACTTGAAATTTGTTTGTTTCTAAATTTCAGCATCTATTTAACCCAGAAATAAGTATACCAGAAAATATACTTTAGGCATCCTAAATTTTTATAGCGTGTTTATTGATATTAAAAAGTATGTGTTAATCGAATGGTTCAAAAAACATGAGGCCGTTAACTAACATGACAATATTATGTATATTTCAATAAAAAAAACTTTTATATGAATATGGCTTTTTATTGATGGCTACCATAAATTACACCGGGTGCGTCTCAAAAGTGGCTCACTGCTTTAACTCTTTTTATTTTCTCAGATAAAAAAAACGAGATATGGTAATAATAATTACTAATCAAGGAGCCTTGGAAAAATGACTTGATCGTCTAATATTTTTAGTGTTTTATCCTAGCCGTTTAAAAGATGCCCAAATCGTATTTTAATCAAATCTCATTTTTTTCAAACGGAACGAGGGTGGCTCATTAGCATATTTGGAAAAAGCACACACTTTATTTCGAGTCAAATTGTCGTTATGAATCATCCGTTTAAATTTAAAATAAACCATATTCGAAAATGTCAAAAGTTGACATATCATATTATGTCATTCTATTCAGAGTGTCATTTTCTATCGAATAAAGTAACAAAATACCATGTGCCATTTAAAAATGAAAAGTTGTAGTCATTTCAGGTGAAACAGGAAGTGGCCGAAAACAACTGAATACGTCATTGAATCCTAATTTATGTCATACATATACTAAAGTATCAAACCTCAATTTTCTATCTGAAAAAATAAAAAAGTTATAGTGGTCACCTAATCCTGTTATCCTTTATATTCTGTTTTTTATGAATTTATAATTCTAGTTAATTAACGTAGTTTTGTAAAATAAGTAAAGGTAAATGTTGAAAAATATTGATTTGACTGTTGAAAAATATTGATTGTCATTTTACAAATGACGTCAAGTAATCCCTCCACTTGGCGAAAGGTCCAGGAGCCTTGCTGGCCATTATGCTGCTCTACCATTTCCAATTCGTCTTCTGGGGAAATGATTTGATTGCTTATATTACATTATATCGTCCTATTGCTGCCAAAAGTCACTAACTAACATTTTTCCGAACAAACAAATTCAATCACTAACTATGTTTTGAAGCGGAGAATCGATTGCAAAAGTCATTAACTACGATTTCTGGCTATTTATGTTTTATTTTAATACCGAAAAATTACTATAACTTCTTTATGCAATGCAATTCATTTTTAGACGCATTTTTCTCGGAAGTAATAAAAAGTAAGTTAGTGACTTTTGGCAGCAATGGGACGATATTTATATTATTTATTGTATATTATTTTTTTTATTGCATTTGATTTTCCGTATTCAATGTTTTACCCCACAGCCACGTCATAGTTAAGTTTGCAGGCTTATCAATATTGTAACGATGAATAGATTAAATATCCGAAACAAAAAAAAGTATAAAGTGTGGCATATCATTGTACTCAGGAGACCGAGTTCTTTCAAAATCTGAAATAAAAAATGCAGGACCGTATTTAAAAAAAAAATAAGTCGGCCTCTGTATCTCACAAATTATCAACTAATTTGAAAATCTAAAAATATTATCAGATAGCCCTAATAAAATGGCTATGAGAATGTGGAATTAGTTTTTTGATTTTCTAAAAAGTAACGACAGGAAAAACTACATGTTACATTTGTCCATGACTGCCCAAGACTTAGTAAAACCAATTAAAGTATTTTTCTTTCAGATCCAGTTCCAGGTGGCTGCAATTTAAGTTTTGAAATGGAAAATGCTCCTTATCAAATCGTTACATACGACCATAATCTAATTACATCTGAAGCCCAACCTCCCTCTTTATACGAATATAATAAAAAATGTGACGAAAATAATATAACTACTGAACTGTTTTATATGCAACTGCCCATGGATCACATAAATGAAGATGAATATTTTAATGCTTTAAAAACGATGTTAACTAAAGAAGATATATTGCATTATGGAACTAAGGTTTCTAATGATTTGAATCATCCTCAATTCAAACAATTTTACAACATTTATCGTGGTAGAGGTTATGTTTTTGGTATTGTATCAACATACAAAAATCGAAGTTCAGTATATGTACCAAGCATATCTTTTGGCTGTGATATTACTGATTGGGATACTAACTGTGTTGGATACGGTAAGTCATGTATTTCCGAATTTAGCTGAATACTAATTCTAACGTTTTTGATTATCTAAATTATGTAAACAATATTTCTTAGCGGAGACCTGACTGAGGATATTTCGGTTACAACGAATTTTTTAAGGGTGCATACTTAAATTTTAAAAGATGTTCATAAAAAATGTAAGTACTAGTTAATTAAAACAAGTATACCATTAATATTACAAATTATAATTTATCCTATTAAATTTTTTGTTTATATAATAGGCACTTTGTTTACTCACTTGTTTCCTCGAACTGCTTGAATCCATTTTTGTTTTTGATCAAATGGGTGTGAGAAGTTGTGAAGCTATAAAATGTTGTTTCGGGATAGTTGAATATCCGGGAAAGTTGAGTTATTGAATGTTATTGCACCCAACAACGCTGTAATTACGCTCTCCTTTACGTCTTAATATTTTTGTCTTGACATCAGAAATTGTAACAACCACAACACGACGCCTAGTTCGAATTCTTTTTCACTTATTTTTTCCTACCCGAAACAGCGTTACATCACACAAATCTCGTACCTGAGTATTTTATAGTTTCAATAACTGCACTAGCAAAAAACCCGAATACTTAAATATTATGACAAAAGCACGATTTCGATATTAGTTTTATGCGATCATCATCGGAACTGCGTGAAATATAGAGCGAAAACTTCTAATTTCTGCCGTATCGAGCGCTGCGATCGGTATTTTTAACCCTCAACTGGCGTGGGGAAATATTGTACTTCTTATGGCGTTCTGGGGTCCGATAGACCCCAGTTGTTTTTTTTTCAGTTAAAAATAAATGGCGAAGAGATTTTATAAAAAGTTTTTTATTTTATTTTAACACTGTTTACAATATATTGCAACGTGTGAATTAATAATGTCATTCATTTTCAATAAATAATTAAGAACGGACCCAAAAATAATAATATAAATAATATATAATTTTTAGAATTGTTTGACAACAGAAATATAAAAACATATATATTTTTTGATTTTCTTGATTATTGAAAGTACAAACAATTGAACTGTAAAGCTAATGTAATAAACAAACATTATTTTCAACAAAACTTGCTAACATACGATCTGCAGACAGCGTACATGGAAGGTGTACACTTGTTTCAGGAGATTTTTGTTTTTTTTTTATCATTTCTTCGTTGACATATATCATCTCTTTCGTTTCTGTTATTGATCATTCAATTCTCTCTTTTCTACAGGTAACAGATTCGAATTCGGAGTTATAGTTACTCTTCGCAGAAAAATCATTGTTTCGATGACTTTCATATCACATAAGTCTCTTTAACTTCATTGTAGCACTCGGTTAATATTTCCTCAAAAATAGCGTCGCCGGAATGCACACTTTTTGAACTATCCACCATGCTAATAATGAAACATTCTTGGCGTGGTGGTGCCACACAGACCCCAATGCCACTTTACCCCCCGCTGGTAGGAACAATACTTGATATATAAGTGCGCGTTTAACAGTTGCATATGTGTAAATGGCTCGGCGAGGCCTGAATGCAAAACGTAAACTTTTTACGAAGTGCTTGGGGTCCGCTAGACCCACCACGCCATTTGAGGGTTAAAATAAATTGAAATGTGCCAATAGTGGAGTGCCCAGAGACTTTTTCCTCGGAATTCAATTACTGTCAATGTATTAATGTGAAACCTACTAACTGTATTGTGATTTATATATAAAATAATAAAATGTTTACCCATTTTTTTTTCGTTGTTTTTAATTTTTTATTTTAGTAATTTTAGTAAATTCTTAATTATTTCCTTCTTAATTTTTTATTTTTTTTAATTCTTTCTCTAATTAAATTTATTGAAGTAAATAAATCTTATGCATAAGCTATACCCTTGTTTATATATTCTTAAAGTTGCCCAACCGACTAGACAAAATGTGCTGCCAACTGGAGGACAAATCGTGAACCTTTCGGGGCGGAGTCAAAAATATCGATTATTTTCGTTATCTTCCTCAGAGTAATGTAATAATATAGCCCAGGGTTTCTGCGAACTTTAATAGTGATCAGCTGATTAAGAAATTTAAACGAAACTTTTATTTTATTGTAAATTGTGGATTATTTTTGCCTGTTATTTTAAGAATTCTAAACCGTATTAACATACAACCGTACAACATATCGAAATAATGATTCCTTTCATTATTTCGATATGTTGGTACATTATTTATAATTTATGATAATGCTAATTGCTGTTAACTAATATTTAAAAAAAGTTACATACCTATTTTAATTTGATTTAATGTAGGTTTATAAAAGAATCATTTCATTCTTAGATTATTTTATTCTAAATTGAGTGCTTTACGAATTTTATGGTATTTTTTTTGAAAACATGAAACTTTTTACATTTTTGATGCCAACTAATTGGCATGGTATTATTGGTATGGAAATTAGCCAAGAAAGAAAAGAATTGGCTATAACTTGTAATTTTTCGAAAAAACATATTATACCTATATCGCTGAAAAGCTTAAAAAATGGCGCTTTTATGAAGTCATGGCCAACTATGGTTTCCATTTAAAAAAACATAATGTTTGTGTCATATGTTAAAAATGACAGGTTTTAGAAAAAAAAACAGAAAACACAAACTCATTAGGTATGTGATTATCTACAACTTTTATCTGAAAACTTTTTGTCTAAAATACCGTATGATCGAATAAAAACGGCTTCAGCGATGGCTATGAAATGACGATCGATGATATTTCCCATTTAATTTTACATAGATATAAAATGACAGCGATCTTCATTTCATAGCCATCGTTGACGCCGTTTTTATTCGATCATACGGTAGATTATAATGGAATTAGAGACAAAGTTTTAAAATAGCCAAAATTTGTTTTTTTTTCGAAATATCTAGTAAGCCTTGAATTTCTCCGAAAAATCCGAAAGGCGCATATTTATGACCCCACAAAACTGCAATTTTTTCCCCATTTAACCGACTTTCTATCTCCAGTAGTTTCCGAGATACCCATAGAGAACATCGTAGGAAACTCACCCTGTATAGTATTTAGAAACTAACTATTATTATTATTTGACTAGATTAATTTGATTAATAAAACTCGATTAATTTAATTTAAAATAAATTTGATCAGATTTTTTTTCGTATATTCTACTACCAGAAAACCAAAATTATATGATAACGCACTTTTCAACGAAGTTGAAGGAAGATATAGTGTATCTATCACAATACTTAATAGAATTACTACAATTAGAAGAAAAACAAAAAAAATACCCAAATACCTTCACCTACTACTCATCTACAAAATAAACTAATATAATCTCTTATAAAAACACTACACAACTACTTCTTCACTACTTCAACCACTTCTACACTGAAAAAATTATCAAACACTAATTAATCAAACAAAAAGAAAAAATAACCAAATTATCCCTTCACCTACTACTTAACTGCAAAATAATAAACTATAAAAACACTACTAAACTATTTCTGGTATTCTACACTAAACATTATAATTAAACTTATTAAAATTAATCTAATTTTACACTACAACTACAAAGAAATAAGAACATTTTTTAAAACTAGAAGAAACAGAACCTCGATACGTGCAATCAGTATAATAGATCAAGCGGACAAAGAATATAAAATACTTTAAAAATGTGCATTCAGAAAGAAAAAATATCTCGAAAATTATCTAAACTTTTAAAAAAAAAAAAAAAAAATTTAAAACTGAAAAATTTTTTTTTTCTTATCAGTGAAAAGCATCGGCCTCGTCGGCCTTGCGAAATTTGTCGGGTATTTACAATGGTCGAATTGTATAATTACCAGCTTTTATAGCATATCTAATAGACAAAAAGTATCTGGTCGATTAGTAACCAATTGGCACGGTCCGAAAATTATCGATTTTTATTTTCTCTGTTTTTATTGGTCGCTTCAAAATTCAGAGTAACAAAAAATATTTTTTTGTAGTGAAAGACTGTGAAATACGCCCCGCCATCTGGTGCTTTACATCCGTAAACGTCTTAGGTTGAGCTACTTTAAAAATTCATATACAAGGGCTATACCTATTCTGCTTATATTCTTATCATTGGAATTTTGATTGAAATCGAATTATACAGGGTGGCGCGACATATTCGACACGGTTTTTGCAAGGAGAACAAAAGTTTGTATTGAAGTGAAATTTTGTGAGCTTTTGTAAGTCAATTTAAAGCATTTTCTAAAATAATGTAGAGTTCTACAGGGTGTCGCCAAAAAAATTTACACATCAAAGTTATGTTTTTTGTAACGGAACATCCTATATATTAATTGATTTTTGGATTCTAGTAAAAAAATAAAGGTTTGTTTCATTAGAAAAGTATATGACTAAAATGTATAGTTTTTGAAATACATTCACCGGCACGAAAAATGGGCACCTTAAAACTTTGATGTATTTTAAAGGTTTGAGACAAAAAAATTGTTGACAAAATATATTAATTTTGTTCTAATTGGCCGATTTTGATGATTTTTTAAGCAGTGTGTAGCCAAATTATTAGACTTTTTATCTTTTTCTAAATTAAAAATGAAACTCCTCATCTGTTAATTATACGAGGGAAAACAAAATGTTGATATTTTGGTGAAAGTTTGAAACACCCTGTGGAATATGGTAAAACCGCAAGAAATTTAGAAATCATTTTATCCTCTAGATACATCCTTTCTCGATGGTTTGTTTTTTGGTTCATCTCATTTAGCTTTATTTTTGTTGGAAATATTCACTTTTGAAGAAGATACTAACATTTTTTCGTAATTTTTACATTAAGACCATACCTTTGCTTTTGGGCCTAGTCAACACATCTAGTAAGTTCTGGTTCCGAAGCATAAGATTTGCTTTATTTAATCTTCTTCTTATAATCCGTTAGTTAATATGTACGTTTCTTAAGTGCAATTCATTATCAATTTGAAAAACTGGCAAACGGTGGTTCCTTAGCGATAAACTTACAATAAGTCGATCGTCTCGATTAGAAGTGCTCATACGAAGGTTCCTGGATGTCTAAATTGACGTCCTCATGGTTGTGGTTATAATTCAAAAGCCATTTAGTATACTCTATGGTATTAAGGTATTTCTGGAACCGGAATTTTATAGCAAACTAGCGTGTACCCGCGACTTCGTTCGCGTCGAATTAATCATTTGTAATGGTGATGATAAAGCAAAGCAAGAATTTCCATTAACATACACACTGGATAACATTTTCTCACATTTATGTCAGCATGAGAAAAAACAATATGGCGATATTATTATATAACTTGGTAGTATTTGAGGGGTAGTTTTATCTCGTTGGAATTTGACTTTCGAAAAATCCGTTTGCCGAAAATAAGCTTGTTACGTCAAGCAGTTTAAGCAGAATCGTGGTTAAGAAATTACCCAACTTTTTGGAACACCCTGTATGATTTTTTTAAAAATTTCAAAATATGTAAAAAAACCAAATAAATTATCCTTGTCCATGTGTTTTCCCGAAAGACTAACCGTTTTTTAAATAACAAATATTGTAATATTTGAGGGGCGTTTTCACCCTCTTGGAATTTGAGATTCGAGAAACCCCTCCTTATAGAACCTCTACATCCCACAGTCAATCCGTTTGCCAAAAATCAGCTTTAAACGTCAAGCAGTTTAAGCAGAATCGTGATTACTCAATGATCATATTTTATGAAACACCCTGTATAAATTTTTAAAAAATCCTAAAATATGTAAAACAACAAAATAAAATATACGTGTTTAAGAGTTTCTCCGAAAAACTCACCGGTTTTTAAAAAATATATTCTAATATTTGAGGGGTAGTTTCACCCCCTTAGAATTCGAGTTTCGAAAAATCCCTTCTTATCGAACCTCTACACCCTAAAGTCAATCCGTTTTCTAAAAATCAGCTTTTTACGTCAAGCGCTTTAAGCAGGATCGTGATTAATCAATGACCAGATTTTTCGAAACACCCTGTATACATTTTTAAAAAATCTTAAAATATGTAAAAAAACAAAAGAAAATATACGTGTTTAAGCGTTTTTTCGGAAACTTGACCGTTTTTTAAATAAAAAATATTGTAATATTTGATGGGTGGTTTCACCCTCTTGAAACTGGAATTTCGAAAAATCCCTTCTTATCGAACCTCTACACCCTAGAATCAACCTGTATGCCAAAATTGAGCTTCTTACGTTAAGTGGTTTGAGCAGGATCGTGATTAATCAGTATGTCAGTCACTTAAGGATTTTATATATTAGTATAGATTCACTGAACTAAACAAATATAGATGTATTTGACTCATCCTGTATGTCTATAAAAATATTTTTGAAATGTGAACTACCATTAAACATATATTTTGTAAAAGGTTTGGAGTAAAAATCTCAAATAGGAATCCTGATACAGAGCTTTTCCGGAATACGGAGCCATCTTGTATGTATGCATTTGTATATGTCTATTTATTTCAAGACTAAAGTGAAAGCAACGAATTTAAATGGGTAAACTCTGTAGTATATCTTATTAACAATTCAATAAAAGTTTTATGAAAATTCGTTTACAGTAAATGAATTCCGAGGTTTGTATCCCATAAGGGCTTAAAGCACTCCACTACAAGCCTATAGTAGACTAACGTATATTTATATTATTCATAATTTTTAGGTGGTCATCAGGTATGGGCGATAACTTATAGTTTCTTGATTATATCTGGTATAACTTCAGTACTTTCTGGACACTGGTTTGTGAAAATATCCATCGGTTTTAGCTGGTTTAACCTTGGAACCGTTATAACTTTTATTTTGTTCGTATTAAATTACGATAAACTAACAATAGAAGGTGCGATTGACTACTTAGATTTAATTGTTTCTTATAATTTTAAATGATTGTATTTGTTTTCAGAAAAACTTATATTCTCTTTGGTTGTGGGAGCACTCCTTGCTATTTTTATAGTCTTTTTGCATTACAAATTTGAGCGACCAAAAATTTATATCTCTATTTCTGGATCGCACATGCTATCTGGTGGTTTATTGGCATCAGTCATCGCGGGTAAGTACGGTTTCAAATGAAATAAAATGTACAAGGTTTCCCACTAAGAATAGCTCTCGGCTGTCTCTCGGAAAGTATTAGCCGTAGAGCTTGCGGAAAAAATATTGATAACTAAAGAGAACATGCTGGAAATTGCTGCAAATTATTTTCAAGTTTGTAGAACGGCCGAAAACAAAATGAAATTTTTACAAAATTTTGCTTAGATAAGGTGTACTATAAATAATAGCTTCACAATCTTCAGTAAATTTTGCATATTTTTTGTTAGAACTATTTTTCGCTATCTGCTAAAGAAAGTGGTGGGGGAAGGTTTAGATCGGTTTTTATTTAAATGGAATCCAACAAACGGGAGCTCGTTTAAAGAAGTGTTCTTTACACTAATCACACAGAACACACTAAAGAAGAACGCTAACTCCCATGCATTTTTTTAGTTTCAAAACGGTTTCAAATTTGTAAAGAAATCTGTAATCTGTATATTGAAGTGGCGCCATCTAGCCACCCAGGAAAGTAACAAAGGTGGCGGCAAATTTAAATAGATGCAATTTATTTTTAAGCAAGACGTATTGACTTGTTCGCCAGTTAGAGCCCATCAGATTTCTACAAAATAATGTGTAGTCATCTGACTGGTCCCAAGTTGGCAAACAAGTCAAATGGTAAAAAACAAGGATTTATATATAAAGGTTAAAAAAAGTTAAACTATTGTAAAGTGTTAAATGGTTTGCTTATATCATTTTATATGCACAAAAACAATACAATAATTTTATTTTAATTTACAGAAAATTATACCATGAAACATTTTACAAACAAATAAAACAACAGATTAAAAAGCATAATATTTATTATAGTACCAGATTTAAGAACACATAACAAATATCGTTGGAATACAAGAGAAAGTGACGTCCATTAGAAACAATGTTTTATTTACGTGTATTTTTTACATATGGACTTGAACAATTGTGTAATATCACATTGTGGAGTTTATGTACAAAAATATGGAGTTGATCAATTTTTTTTTGTAAAAATATATGGCGTTGTAAATATTACATTGTTAAAAAATAAAATTCACGAATATTTGGACTTGGTTAGGTTACCTCACCTCACTTTCTCGGATTATTAAATAAAATTGTTAGATAAATCAAAGACCTTTAACTTAAACCTTACCTTTAATAAAGATCTTAAAAATCAAACACAAAACAAAGTTCAAAAAAATTCAAAAATACAAAATCACGATTGTAAAATGAAGATTGCAAAAAAACACAGCCAAACAACCAGAAAACAGCGAAACGCACATCTCCGTTCAATTGCAAAACACAACTGAAGAGGAAGGAGGAAACCGGAAACGGAAAACTGATTTGACATACAGAACAATGACAGAACATAATTAATAGGCCTATTTAGGCAACTATAAAAACAATTTTGTACGCAATTGTTAGGCAACTAGAAAAATTTTTAAAAAAATACGCCATCTAGCGCCCCAGGAAATTACTACCCCAAAAACAAATCGTTCAAGGTCGTATATCTCAGTTGACTGGCCCTGACTAATCATATAAACAGTAATAAAAAGCTTTTGAACGTAGACGCTTGGGGGCGCTGTCTTGCAATATAAAAAGCATTGCGCGTTTTTTTTTCAAAAAAATTAAATGCGGTAGAATATGTAATTTTATCTGATACTAATTATTAATAAAAGCTTAAAAAGTCAGCGAAAACCGCATCTTGATATCTTTTTTCAAACCAAAGTTATTAGCAAAATTATAATAAATATGAAAAAATAAGCCCTTAATTACTTTATTTTTCTAATGGGTATTACTAGCCCTCTTCATTATGACCATTCTAATAAAAAAATAAGATAGAAAAGATTAGTTTATTCAAAAAGTTTACAATATACCAGAATACCATGATACTAGGTGTATTAATATCTAATAATTAAGATATCAATGACAGTGAACAAGAAACGCCTCAGTGAATCCATGGTAGGCTTTGGAAAAAAGTTGCTTTTGAAGGGATAGCTCAACGTCAAAATGTTATATCTACATTTGCAACATATATTATTCTACTGAAAGTGTTTTAAAAAGGACTTTAGAAAAAGTAATCAAAAAATAAAAACGCTGCTGTGACTATCAAAATGGTCATAATCAAGAGGGTTACTGATACCGTGTTATAAAAATAAGGTAAACTGTAAGGTTATTATTTCGTATTTATTATAATTTTGTTAACATCTTCGGTGTGCCCGGTGGCGTAGTGGTACAGGCTCTCTGTGCCTAGTGCCTAAAAGTAAAAAGTGAAATGTTAGAAACAATGAAAATATTGTAAAAGTTGTGTAAATACTTTTGATTTCTTTGCCTGATATCCGGAAGCTTTTCTTTTTAAAAATGCAATAAGGTTTGTGAATTTCCTAACATCTACGTTTCTGTGCAGGTAAATCATGGTGCGGAGCATCGAATATTTACTCCACAGAGTTGACGGCTTTAAGGTAGTGGATAACTTCAGGAAATAGGCTAGCAATACCTTTTCTGTGAAATTCTCAACACATTTTTCTTTGACCCAGTTTTCAAAGTTGTTGTAGGTGGTCTCGTGTAAGTTTTTCGACTTCTCGGGCACTAACGCTGATAGCGCAGTTTCAGCAGCTTGTTGAATATCCAAAAACTCGTCATTATCACTCATTTTTTCACAAAACTTTGTAGGAAATACGGCGACGTATGAACCTGACAGAACTTTGTCATTAAACAATACACATAGATAAATGAAACAAGTTTAGATTGGAAAGTGCCCATAAGGACAATGTAAACACTATTTGGCGCTATTTTTGCAACGGTCGCGACCCAAAACTTTTGAAAAATTCGGAGCGGTTCGGCTTTTTCCGGAATTATATCGCCAAATATTGTTTATTCAATTTTATTATTATTTTCGTTTAATTTTATAAATAAAAGACAGTCTGTTGCATACAAGAAACTTTATTTTATAGGTATAAGGACGCATGTATGAAATACCTATGAAACATTGGAAACCGACGTTATGCCACGATCCACGATGGTTTTTGCAGTTCACAGTTCACAGCACAGCTTTTTAAGTTTTTAATGCTACTTTTTCACAATTATCACCGGTTGGAGTAAATAAAACTTGAATTAAACTCATAAGATAGCAATTATTACTTTGAAAATGGACGCTATAAACACTTTTCGGAATTTCTTTAATGAGAGCGGTTTAGATTTTGAAAGATTATTATGATTTTTGAAGATTCTGACTTTGACAAGAGAAAATTATTTCTGTTTTTGTTTGCCGTTGTTCTTAGCGACCGCTATAGCAGCGCCAGATCGCGTATAACGGTCGCGACCCAAAATAATTTCGCGACCTAAAATTTTTACGGGCTTTCCAATCTAAACTTGTTGCATTTATCTATGACAATACATAAACAATGCCTTAGAAACCGATTACCAGAACATTTTAAAAAATGTTTAAAAATAAATAATAATAATAGCATGAAAATCTCAAATTATCCGCTTTCACAAAAAAATATTGTATGAAATTCGTTGCGAAAAGAGTGTTTTACGCACTCGGCGCATTGTCCCGTGCTTAAAACACATTCATTTCGCAACTTGTTACATAAATAGCTATTTCGCGAATTTTAATCTATTATTATTAACCATTTAAAAATCATGTTGACTCGATATAAAAATAAATTTGTCTTGAACACATTATATCGTTTTTTAGGAATATTCCATCCATTATCCAACAGTACTTTCTGGTACGTATTTGGGGGTGTATCACTATCATCAGTGTTATTACTTTTCATCGGTTTTCCTGTGGGTCACATAATAAGTCACACTTTTGTTGGAGGATATGCATTAATGAGCGGAATAGCTATGTTTAACGGAGGACATATTCAGTATTTGTACATAAATGTTTATAGAAGGCTGATAGCCGATAATTATGTCTCAGCAGTTGCTGGTCTATCATTTACTTGGAGCAGTAAGTAATATTAATTTTATTTTTTTTTTTATTTTATTTTGCATTTTTATGTTTTTAGTCTTTTTCGAGTATATTGGATGGCTAGTACTCATTATAGTAGGATTTTGTTTGCAGTTCATGATGTCAAGGAATCGCAATTTATATAGGAAAGGATATGCAAGTGTCCATTCCATAAGTTAAATATAAGAAGGATAAGATACATACATACAGACATGGCCTCTATGACATTTGACATAAATTTCAATTTTATAAAATTGGGTTCCGTTTCCATTTTTTTTTAATGACGGGCTTCCCATTAGGTTTAAATTAGGATGAAACTTTTTACTCTTTTTCTTGTAGTAAATAATAGCTAATAATCTTGTAGTAAATAATAATCCGCTCGACTATAATCCAAGAGCACCGTTTTTTAAAATTAATAGTATAATGTGTAAAGTACGTCTGCTGGATCTGTGTCTATGAAAGGAATGCTGACAAAAAACAGTTAAATAAACAGCAATATATTTTATACGTCGACTTGACGAGTACGTCACCGCAAATCGCTCCGCCCCCTCATTTTATTGGTTACTTGCAAATTTGTCGAATTTTTATTGATGGGACGCGTCATCTAATTTTTTACGAAAAACATCGAGATAATATCGTTTCCCCTCTCACGGATACCCCGTAGCTATAGAACGAACAGACGTACTGTAATAAAACTTAACCACAATAGATCGTGGACTAGGCTTACAGGGGAAACCACATTTAAAAAAATTCGCTGTGTACTTGGCGCATTTTTTTTAATATACTAACCTAACCTACCTCTCAGGTGGTGCGGAAATATATGCATATTATTAAAAATACCAGTTTTTCAACTTTTGAAATCGCCATATCTCAGGAATGGTAGTTCGTAAGAAAAAAGTATTAGTAAAACCATTATTGTAGAAAATTCAATGGACATTTGTTTAAGGTACCTTTGCGATAGCATTTACCGTTTAGGAGAAAAACCCAAAAAAACATATTTTTGACTTTTGACCTTGAATATTTTTTTTAGCAGACGTGGGAGGGGTGGGGATTTTTCAGATATCATTTATAATAGTGTATTTAAGACCTGTACCAATTTTCAGCTCTATGCGAGTTATAATTGTTAATTGAAATGTCTATTTTGACTGGGGTATAAATAATATTTAGATATGTAGGTCGTAGGTACCTAATATTAAATAAAAATATACATCAATAGATACATGATTTTTATTTAAAAAAAAAGTTTAAATATTTGAGATAAGAAAGTCAAATTTAATAATTGCCCATTACATGAAATGCGCAACGATGCTGCCGATTTCGCGAATTCGACAAAAAATTGCCGAATTCATGAAATCGGCTGTTACACAAATTCGGCGTAACATATATACCACTATTTTCTGTCACTTTTTTGGATGGCCTCTCTTGAAGTCATCAGTTCTCTCGTCGGACAGACTTTAGTTTTGAGATTAAGACTAGCACCTTCCCCTAGGAGATGCAAGACCTTGTCGTTGGTGGGAAAGCTCCTGGTCAGGTGCTGGGGGAATCCCCCCTAGCACTTGGCTTGGTCTAAGAAGCATCTCACTCATCGTCTTGTCCCTGACTGTAGTGTCGTGGCCAGGGAATTGCACCAAGACATATAACGATACCGGGCGGGGCTACGGACAGCCTCAACCTTGGGGCATCGGGGGGCACCCCATTGTATTTTACCCCTTACTTCTACATGCGGGGCTCTGTAGAAGTGGACCGACTGTCCCTAGCGACTCATAGGAACACTATGAGATCTGATAATAATAGTAATAAAAACATCACCGGTGAAGCTGTGGGGAAACCCCCTAGCGACACTGGGAACAGTAACAATGAAAGTTCCAAGGGGCCAAACCCAAAGAGAACTACAGGAAAGGTGGCTGACACTTGCGTGAGACCATCCTCCGCAAGTGGCATACAAGCTACCACCTCCTCCAAGGGTCGGGAGCCTACCTCCTACCTCTAAACCCAACAGGCGACACAAGCTACCGTTTTGTCCACCCGGCCTGGGTCGTAGCTCCTCGACTGTGAAGGACACGGATCTCCGTAGGAAGTCCTGGGACTGTATGATGAGTTATAACTCAAGAAAGGGGGACACAATAGATCTCTAAGGTCGCAGAGATTAACCCCCCTCCCACTTATTCTAAAAAAAAAACTCTAAGACTAGCATGTTATAAATTATATACATATCTACTTATCATTGCCACTCCATACTTACTATCATTGTAACTTACTAAAACTTTGTACCTCTATGTCAAGGGCACAATATGATTTAAAATATGCAATTTATCCCCCATTGACCTGATCTAAACGATCAATGCATGATATCAATTCGAAGAATGTGCAATTTGGGTAAATTGATAACTGATTTACATTATATGCTAAAATTAAAAATCCAATGTATCATTTTCACTATTCTTTATTCCACAAACTAATTTTTCACATCTACACAGAAAAGTGTGCTACAGGTAGTGCAATTTAAATAATTTGTTCTTATTACAATTAATCACAGCAACAATAACTTACTTACAAACATTTATTTTTATACGGCTAAAAATGTCTTATCTAACTATACATTTTCCAAAGCTTAAACTCAAACTAATTTCAGGAACAGGTTAATATATGTCTTGATAGATTAAACAAACATGATATATGTATATGCTCTAGAACGGGTACAAAGGAAATCGAAAACTAAATAAATATTCAATATAGCTGTTCAAAATGTCTTATGAGAAATACCATAGATTTTTTAATTCTGTCTTGTAGTAATAGAGGATTATTTTTTGTGTCTTTTTTACATTTTTGAAAACCTACACACACCTCTCCCAACAGTAAAAGGGCATAATCATATATACGAGTATAACCGTTTTTTCTTTTTAGCATTTTACTTATTCTTACTTTTTACCCTTACTGGTTTAGTAAGTAATAATCTCAGGTATTCAATTAAAAACTAAAGTATCTCAGTATTTTTTATAAAATTATACAAAGCCTTTTTTAAATATCTATTATTTTGGTCAAATAAGCTTACAGAATCGTTAAAATCTTAGAGTACGCACACAAAGAAAGCTGGTTAAGCAGCGCCGAAAACCAGCGCCAGAGATAGCGCCAAAATCACCATATGGGCTGGAACTCTGTAACTAAATAGCGATCGGTAAAATAGCGATAAAGAATACTGATCTTGGCCGTACAAACTATACGGCAAGCGACAGTATTCTTCATCGCTACCGATCACTATTTCGTTACAGAGTTCCACCCATGCTCACCTAGCAAGCGACCAAGATTAAAAATTCGTTCCGGTAAAAAGTCGGCGCCGATTTACGCTGGAAACAAGCGCAGACAGTGTCAAGCGCCGTGTGTGCGGGTGTGTTTAAAAGCGCATATAATTATTATTGGCGCTTACTTTTATTGTTGATTGTGTACAGGGTGGGTCAAATTGGACGCTTTTAAAGAGAAACGCCCTTTTCTATAGGAGATATAAACTAATATCGATGTCTGGAACTCAATTTTTACCAAACACATGATGGTGAAAACCGCGCATCGATATCTGTTACCGTTTCGAAGTTATGGGGTGTTTGTCAAAAATGTGCATTTTTAACAAATCGCTGTAACTTTTTTTGCTGTGGAAAATTTTGTATTTCTATGAAAACATTTCCAAAGCAGCTTTTTACGTAGTATTTAACGGTTTAAGTATAATTTTTTTAAAATTAATAATTTAAGAGTTATCAACAAAAAAAAATGATTTTTTATTTGGGACACCCTGTATATTTTTAATTAACCGAAAAGAACTTAAAATTATAGCACACTTGATATTTTGTTATAATCCCCTTCGAAATACAGAATTTTTAAAAGTTCGCCACTTTTAACTAGTAGGCTTTGGACCCCTTATTGATGATATGCCCCTAATGGAACTCGAAAACATATTTTCCAGCAAGACGAGATACCGCCTCAGAACGCTTAAGTTATCAGAAAATTTTTGCAGCCAATTTCAAGAATAATTGAATAGCTATATAACCAAGATCCCAGCCGTTGGCCGTCGAGGCCGCCGGACTTAGTGCCTCTGGCTCTAATCCTATGGGTATCTCTGAGGAAGAATGAAGGTTCTTATTTTAAAATTGCCCGTATAATCTAGACAAAAATTAGAAGTACTTAGCTATGAGAGGGTATCTTTCACACCTACTGAGTTAATGAATTCCGCGAGAAATGTTCAAAAACGGCCCCGTCTCTCCGTAACAGAAGACACACCTGTAGCAAAATATCATGTCTTGGTTTGCTATTTAATAAATATAGTCTAAATTGTTATAAAATTCTGCATCTCTCATTGCAAATATTATTTTCGTTTTAATTGATGCTCACTGCTAGAGTTTTTCAAAGCCTACTTATTTAAAGTGGGCGAAATATCAAGTGTGCTATATTTTTGGATAGGTAATTTTAAATTCTTTTCAATACATTAAAAATATACAGGGTGTCCCATATAAAAAATCAAAATTTCTGTTGATAATTCTTAAATTGTCGTAATTAATTTAAAAAAATACATACTTAAACCATTAAATTCTACGTAAAAAGGTGCTTTGGAAATGTTTTCATAAAAATACAAAATTTTCCATAACAAAAAAGTTACAGCGATTTGTTAAAAATGCACATTTTTGAAAAACACCCCGTACCTCCGTAACGGTAATAGATATCGATATGCGGTTTTCACTATCATGTTTTTGACAAAAATTGAGCTCTAGACACCGATATTAGTATTACTCTTATAGAAAAGGGTGTTTCCCTTTAAAAGCGTCCAATTTGGCCCACCCTGTACTATTGAGACTACTTGTAAGGGCTGATTTTCGGCGCTAGTAATAGGCGCTTGTAACCAGCTTTCTTTGTGTCTGTACCCTTACGTCGATGTTTCTTTAAGACTTTGAAAGCCTATAGTGAATATTCTTTATTATACCGCATATTTTAACAGACCGTCCTTTATTGCTAATTATATTGCGATCAAAATAAATATCCTGTATTATTGTTATTAACATTTACCGGGTATTTACAAGTAAAATCGAAATGTATTAAACTGTTCTCTACTTAAGTACATTGCTTAAATAATTGCTTAAGTTAAGTTAACTCTATATCTGTTAACATTGTAATTGATTTTGTTACATGACTTTGTTTACAAATGTTTTACACGTCTTTACATAATGTACATTACCGTGACTGGGCTTCAATATAATTTAATAATTACAAGAAATATATACAGCGTATTTAACATTTTATTTCATTTTTTTATTAATACCCTGTATTAATAGTTATATTTTCTACAGTTATATGTATATACAGGATTTCTCTAAAATGTCAAAAAAGCTTTAAGTAGTAATTACACTTATCCAAATGTAAAAAAAATATGTTACAATATTTAATGCTTATATGTACTTTAGAAGAATACTGTATATATGTATTAGACTCAGGTATGCGGTGCTCATTACTCCAATGAATTCATTAAAATCTGTGATTGTTTATATAGTTTTTTTTTAAATCCTTTAATGAATGGTTCAAGTTTTAGAGGTTATGATAAAGTAAAGTTACTTATTAATGTAAATGATTCATATCGTCAGTTAAACATATCCTTTTGTACCGTTTTTTGCTCTCCTGTAAAATTAGGAATAATGGAGTTTAGATGTTTAACACATTTCACCGACGATATGTTATTTTTATAACTCTTAAACTAAAATATAGTCTCCAACGTTGCAGATAATTTTTGTATTAAAAGTTAATTTTTTTTCAGTTAGTTTGTGGCCTCTTGCTTAAGACTAGACAAGCAAAATACATGGGGAGTCTTCAGTGATATTTCGAACCCAAGATCACATCTACGAGAGTTTTTCGCAAAAAAATATATTGAAAATCGTGCATTTTCTTTTAACATTTCCCGTACAATTTAGAAAGCTTTTTAGAACTGCCTGTTCACCGCAAATTTTCCCACAGTATAATTTCTTAATCTCTGATATTTCCATAGTTACGGCTTTACTCTATTGTTCCGGCACTAAAAGGGATAAAAATACAGAAAAAAATCCGGTGGCTCCCAATTTTTTTAAATAAATTAATATACTAATTAAGCATGCCCTGTTTGAAATAACTTGGTTATTTTGGACTTTTTTGAAAAACGCTAAAGAGAAAATATGATTCTTTTATGGAGATTTAACATCCATGAAAATATTTGCACTTAATGCACCGTGTATATTGTTTTCCTAATGACAATTCATGATAGCACTGAGAATTGAGAAACTTAAAAAAAAACAGTTATTTATTTTACTAGTTATACTAAGGAAACAGACTCTCTCTTTTGTGTAAGGAATAGACATTGTTATAAGATAGGGAATTTTGTAGCCATGATCTAGAGTATTTGCAAAATTTCACCATGTGGCAGTACAGCATTAAATATTAAGACAATATAAATATCGAAATACTCTATGATTGAAAAAAACGGCGTCGAGTTGGCTTGGAAATGGACATCGATGACATTCTCCATATAATTTTATATATAAAATGACACAGCAATCTTCATTTCATAGCCATCGCTGACGCCGTTTTTTTATCATCCGGTATTTTTATCCTGTTGTTGCCACGAATTTCTGCTTACTTGTAAATAAAAAAAATCTGCAAGTCTGAGACCAAATTTCCATAGTTGTGCATGTGACCTTATTAATATGTGAGTTATAACGAGAAATATACACGATGTTCCTTATAAAAATGCACACTGCAGAGATCTCGTAACCCAGAAGAGATGTTATGCGTGTCAACAATGTCATTTTTTGGGTTAAGTGTTCTTGATTGTGCCATTTTAAAGAACAGAGATTTCTATAATAAAAAATAAAAATTCAGCCCGTATACAGGGTGTTTCAAAAACGTGTCATCTTTCGTTGGGAAGTTCCTCACGTAAAAATATGATTTATTTTTCATATCAACATATAGTACGAGAGCTAGCAACGTCAGGAAACAAGTACTTGAAGACATCTGGCTCTTTGATATATAATTTACTATACCCTATAGAACAGCCTGCGGGCCGTCTGGTTACCGGTAAACGTTGCGTTCACCACTGCGCATTGAAAGAAGATCCTATATTTTTATTAGTCCTTTAAATTCTAGTATTAAAAATATACCCTGCCAGTCTCCATAGCACGGCGCGAAAAGATTTCGCCTATGAAACGAGTAGAGGTGTGTAGTTCGGGAACGAACTAGTTCCAATGTACTATTCCGACCCAATGAAAGGAACTAGTTCCTGGTTTTTCAAAGAACTAGTTCCTCAGGACCTATTCCGGGATCGAGACTGTGACTGATATCTATATCTCTAATAAATTAATATATATATATATATATATATATATATATATATATATATATATATATATATATATATATATATATATATATATATATATATATATATATATATATATATATATATATATATATATATATATATATATATATATATAAATATTTATTCTAATAAAGGATGATTCACGGTACACGGACCGTACCCGAGCCGGGCACGTTTCGTGAAGTAGACACCGAGCCACGTTCCAGGCCTTCTGTTTATGCTACACCGAGTTGATAACGGGGATATATATATATATATATATATATATATATATATATATATATATATATATATATATATATATATATATATATATATATATATATATATATATATATATATATATATATATATATATATATATATATATAAAATATTTATTCTAATAAAGGATGATTCACGGTACACGGACCGTACCCGAGCCGGGCACGTTTCGTGAAGTAGACACCGAGCCACGTTCCGGGCCTTCTGTTTATGCTACACCGAGTTGATAACGGGGCTCGTATTAGTTCTGAGTATATTATAAAACACAGCCCCATAGACACACGAAGATTTAATATACGAACAATGCCACAGTTCTCGCAAGTGGAATTGGTACCAATTACAGTTGATGAAGAAAGAACAACACCTGCTCAAAGGGCAAGATGAAGGACCTATTTTTTTCATTACGTCCTTTCATTGTCCAGTTTTATGCATTCCCTGTCATTAAATACTGCTGTAAGATTCACTACCTACTACAGACATGATAAAAAGTGTACTTTGTTTATACCATAACTGCAGATTGCAGTCGGGGCACCAGGAAAAGTACATTCATGCTTTCCGCAACGTGGCGAGAACGGAGCGGATCCGAGAAAAAAATGTACGCCGACATTTCTGGGACGGGGCACGGACGAGTTTCGGCGAAGCTCGGATCGTGCTCGGCCTGGCATGAATGTATATGTGTAAAGAACACTTGACAATGTTTGGCCGTGTCTTCACCGACGCACGGCTCGGACCCGTTACGGTGTAGCGTGAAGCATCCTTAATATGCGACGGCGACGGATCGGATCCGGACCTAGAGGAACTAAACTACGAGTAAATAGACTAGTTTACGTACGAACGGATCGGACCAGCGCGATCGATGCTAGGCAGGAGTGGAGAATGCCAGCCGTATGCCGTATGTTATCGGATCCGGACCTAAAGGAACTAGAGGAACTAAATAAAAGACTAGTTTACGTATGGATCAGCCAGCGCGATTGGTGCTAGGCAGGCGTGAGGAGTGCCAGCCGTATGTTATCGGATCCGGACATAGAGGAACTATTAAAAGACTAGTTCACGGGAATCTATTCAGTCGGCAGATCCGAGATATAATACAAGGCGACGACGATGGATTCGGCCTTGTCTATTGCCACAGCCGGCGCGCAGTAATTACCACAGAAAATTGTCGTGTATACTGTTTTTGATTTTTAGTTTGTTTTTTAAATATTTTATGGGAATGTTTCAATTTAGGTCCCTAAAATTAAGAAATATCTTATAAAACGAAGTAGATATTCTTAATTTTTAAGTGAGGAAAAATGCAATTTTTCGTAAAATTTTTGTAATATTTGGTCCAATTGATTTAATTTATAGTTTTTTAAATTCTGATTTGAGTTTTTTTATTTTTTTTTATCTGCAATAAAACTTACCTATATGTTTTTAACATACTCAATTACACGTCTCGTTATATCTCCGTACATTATAAAAATTATACAGATCATACTGTGAATAGTTCTGACTGACAACGAAACGCATTAGCAAGCAAGGAGGATGTCAATGTTAGTCGGGAACTATTGTGAACTAAAGACCTAGTTCAAGGAACTATTCCTCTGAACTAGAACTAAGGAACTAGTTCCTCCCAAGGAACTAGAATTCCCACCTCTAGAAACTATATTCTTATAGTAAAGTATTAAATAATTCTAGTGGTTCAAAAAAAAACAAATAGTTAATACTTTACTGTAAGAATATAAACGGAAATAAAATAAAAAAGTTCTATACCCCGAGCCGGTCTCGAACTCGGACTCCTCGCCTCATAGGCGGAAGCTCTGCGCGCCGCGCTATGAAGACTTGCTCGATTTATATTCAATACTAGAATCATGACTAGAATTTAACGGGCTAAATAAAAAATATATAGGCAGCCAGACGGCCCGCACGCTGTTCCACAGAGCATAGTAAAAGAGAGCTTTCTTAAAATACTTTCTCGAAAACGTTGCTAGATCTTAGACTAATAGGTCCGATTCTGCTTTGTTTCGTAGTTATAGAGGGTTAAAATGTTCTTTTTTTTCGATTTAAATATAGTGTCTGGACTGATTCACCAGGGACGTGCAGATGGAATATTTTTATAATGGAAATATGTGCGGCACTAACTTTCTTTTTTCTTGTTAGCACACAACCTTTAAAAAAATTATGTGCATGCTAATAATTAAATTAACTGACCAAAGTTTTAAAGTTACAAGATGTTAAAACTTTAAAAAAATAGGTCTTTTGTAATTATCTTAAATGCCATTATTTTGTTTTTGAAATTGCTGTAAGATGTATGATTAATAATTAATTTGAATAAATAAATAATTTATTTTTATTTTAATTTAATAGTGATAACTAAATTGCGTTTATCTCACCAAGTAGATTAATTAATCATTAAACGATCTACATAATTTTCCTAACAAGGAAAAAGTCAGTGGCGCACATGTTTTTTAAAAAAAATATTCCAGTGATATTGTGTGAGGCACCTCCCTGGTAAACTTTCACCAACTTTCAGCCTCAAAATTTCATCCAGACCGCTAAAAGCACTCGGATTATTTTAGATTTCGAAACATGACGTTATAAGGTTCAATAATACGTGACTTTACTCTGATTCAATCCTCTTTGCACCTCTCTTAGTTTACTAGATCTCTGATCTGTAGTAGTGTGTGTTTTAATATTATAGGGTACCATGTATACGCAGACGTACGTTTTAACCATTACAAATTGTAAAGTTCTCTTTCACGTCCAATAATTAATATCTTGAATGACTGTTATTCTAAAAGTAATGATTTCTTATTCACTCACACACAGAGTTAACCCTACGACTTATATCCCCTTTAAAACACTCACTTGTCTTCATCTCTTGACAGATTAAGAACTCTCGTGGTCGGTAGGGGTGGTACTTTGTACAGGAATGACGGCTGGGGGTGAAGCTATGGCTGCGGGATGGTTCAAAAGTGCTGCCGGGTTATCCTGGTGCACGAGCAGGCTCGTGGCAGCCGGGAACCCGAATAGTTGAGATCACTGAATCCGAGGCCAGTAGTTCGTTGCCAGGTTGGAGGAGATTTCGGCCGGCTGAGAAGGTATCTGAACGGGTACTGACACGCCAGGAGATATAACGCCTGGAACAAAATAGAACAGATCATATAATTGTTATATTCACACTAAAAGAATTTGGGACTTTCATGGTCTTTATTTATTTCAGCTTATAGAGCGTTTCGGGTCAGATGTATCACTGGCCGTTTTGAAGAAGTGTAGACTAATCTAAGGCCTAAAATAAGGTTTATAATAATAAATAATATTTTCTTGCCTTTAGCTGTGTATTTTTTTCTAATTTCGAAAAATCGAAAGTAGAGAAAAAAAAATAAAAAGTAAAAAGAAAATTGTTTTGCTTTAAGGGAGGACCCAAGCTCCACTCCCACAACCGGTTTCTGGGCCTACTCTTCATCAGATGGACTGTCCAGGGGCTGGCTCTCACCGATACGGCAAGCAAAATGTTTCCAATATCAATAGACGATGTAGTAAAGTGTCGAAGATATATTAGCGCATCTCCCGTCAAAAGATGGTAAAGAAAACGTTTTTCGGCCCGCTCAAATATTATGAAATGAACAAAAAAATTGTTCTTTTAATTTTTTTTCTTTACTTTCGATTTTTCGAAATTAGAAAAAAATACACAGCTAAAGGTAAGAAAATATTATTTATTAATATACACTAAAGCTGTAAGAATTTTGTTCATTTCATAATAAGGTTTATATAGGGTGATTCACGGCGATGCGATGGTACCAAATATATTTAAAGACCATATGGCCAGTCAGACACAGAAATTGACGCTAAATTTTTGAAATGGAGTTATACAGGTTCAACAGCTTTGAACTACGCAAGTGTGAAAAGTGCTTCGCAAATAGTTGATTTATTTTCATACTAACCAATACACGTAGTTTTCAGAGTTTCTAGCTACTGCGTAAACCAAGTTAGCGTCTTACTATTCGCGCCTTTACTTATAGATTTAAATTTAATCTCTGAAATATTTAAACAAAAACAAGAAACAGATCATATTAGTATCTATATTTCAAGATTATCTAAAATCATAGGTTGAAATAATACCATTACAAAAAAATATATACAGGGTGGTCCAAACTGTATTCCGGAAATCGGCAGCATGTTTTGCAGATAAAAATAACTGAAAAAGTTCGTATAAATGGGTGCAAAAATTTCATTCTTATTTCGATTTTTTCCAAACAATTTCTGAAGTAACGTGAAGTAATATTTGGACGAAAATTTGTGTCATGGTAGTTTTCTGACATGAGAAATTTGATTTTGATGTCAATATGACTCCTATTTGTAGGGAGCGCCACCTACATACATGTGTTTTAACTGTTTTGAAGGGTAATAACTTTTCGTCCGTACCTGTATAAAACTACTGAGTGAAAAAATATACATTTACGTGACTTTCTATGTTAAAAATATCTCTTGGTAAAAATCACTATGAGCAACCGTTCTCAAGATATTTAAAATTGAAATAGTCAATACAAGTCATTATTAACATAAAATAATAATAATAGTCAATACGTTGAGTAGGTACCGTATGATCGAATAAAAACGGCGTCAGCGATGGCCATGAAATGACGATCGATGACATTTCCCATATAATTATGATGACAGTGATCTTCATTTCATAGCCATCGCTGACGCCGTTTTTATTGGATCATACGGTATTATTTGACTGAAATAATAAATTTGGGAAATTTTTATCTAAATCATTTTTTTTTTTCGAAAAAATTATGATAACACTTTTATTTTATAAACAAAAGTTTCTGTTGAACTTTTTTCATAAAAACATTTCAAATTTATGATTTCACTCTAATAACTATTTAGTCAACATGTTTAATTTATGTCAATGATGACAGGTATTGATAATTTCGATTCTAACCGCGATTTTTACCAAGAGACCTTTTAAACGTATAAAACGTTGTAAATGTATATTTTTTACTCGGTATTTTTATACAGGTACGGACGAAAAGTTATTAGGTACTCTTAAAACCAGTTAAAAATATGTAGGTGGCACCCTCTACAAGTAGGAGTCATACTGACATCAAAATCAATTTTCTCTGTTATCAGATTGTCTTAAAGTTATGTTAAAAACTCCCATACACCAATTTTCAGCCAAATATTAACGTTACTTCAGAAATGATTTGGAAAAAATAGATATAAAAATTAAACTTCTACACCCTGTATCTCGGAAACTAAGCATATTAGTAAGTACATCGAGAAGTACATTTATACGAACTTTTTTACTTATTTTTATCTGCAGAATATGCTGCCGAAGTTTCCGGAATACATTTCGGGCCACTCTGTAATTATAGATATATTGGAGGTAATGGTGGGTTCATACAGCCAAATAAAAAAAAAATAAGAATAAAATAAAATAAGAAATTCTTATTTGTGCGCGTTCATACAGCCAAATAAAATAAAATAAGAAATATATATTTGCTCATGCGCAGTGCGATGGATCTGGATAAAAGTTAACTTTAAAACAGTGCGCGGTCAGGTGACAGCGTTCAGCGATGAAGTAGATCACAATCAGGTAGTTTTATTTGGGGTGTGCGCACAAAAATCGTGTTGAACCAAAAGAATAAACTTATGGCAAGATTGATATTCCCATTTCATTACCTAGTTTGGCTCAATGACCAAAGAATACAAGGACGCGTAACGCCCATATACGGACTGCAGCAGAATTTGTGCTGTTAGACGTTATCATTTTGGAACTGGTTTGTTTTGTGTACTGAACTTTGTATAAACTTTATTATAATGGTGATGTGTTCAGAGCTTTCAAGTGTAAAAGCCGCAACGATAAAGAAAGAGCCAGGAGTTAAGTTTCATAGGTAAATAAACAGTCCACTCCACCTTTTTAGCGTTTTCTTAGTTTTCTTATTGAGTTTGTTTTCTTATTGGATTGAAAATATAATTATTTTATTGATATTATATGCACTTGATATGTGCTATAAGTTGATACTAGTGTCACAAATTACCTATAACAGATGCGAAAGAAAGCGACTGCATCGGAAACCGCTCGGCAAACCCGACACGCCTATTGAGTGGTGTAAATACACCAGTCGTTTAGTCCGGAAACCTATGCTGTGTCGTATTCGCTTGCTGGAATGACATAGTGCGTGGTTATATGTTTCTTTTTAAAAACACGTGTAGGATTTTTGTTGAACTTTTGAACTGTTATTTCTAAGTTTTGGTAATTTGTATATCTTATTTAAAATGGGATGCAAATGTGTTTATTCATAAGGAAAAAAAAGATATTTATAGTATAAAAAATTAATTTATTTAACAAAATTTAATTAAAAATGTGACAAAATAGTTACCTTTCTATTGGTTCTATCGGACTTTTTTCGACTATATAAATCTTTATTTGTAAACTTTAATACATCAAATATTTTCAATCTAATTAATCATTTAATGATGTAAATAAGAGGAAATTTCTCACATGGGTGGTCAAATTTTATAGTTTTCATTATATCAAACAGCCTCTGAGAAATGTTTTCAACTCAAAATGCCTTTAATTATGTTTGACTACATCATTAAAAAGGGTGTTCAAATACATCAATGTGATATTTGTCTAAAATTTGCAAAAAAATCCGAATCTCTGGATAACTCGAAATTATTTACCCATTTAAAAGCCTTTGATCATGAAAGTGGAAAAATTTGTTCATTTTATTTACAGGCTGGAAAAATTATTTAAATTAAATTTTGATGAGTTTTGCACTGAAGAAAACGTTCAGAGGCTGTTTGATATAATGAAAACTATAGAATTTGACCACCCATGTGAGAAATTTCCTCTTATTTACATCATTAAATTATTTATTAGATTGAAAATATTTTATTCATTAAAGTTTACAAAAAATAAAGATTTATATAGTTGAAAAAAGTCCGATAGAACCAATAGAAATGTAACTATTTTGTCACATCTTTAATTAAATTTTGTTAAATAAATTAATTTTTTATACTATAAATATCTTTTTTTTCCTAATCACCTACGAGCTGATATAATATGACGAACAATCTATTAAATTACTGCGAGATTATACAGAAAAGTCCACAGACTTCGAGACATAGGAAAATCAAGTCCATTTAGCGTGTGTCCAAATTTTGACAAGTTTTCAAAAATTACAGTTTTGTTTAGACTGACGTTTAATTTCACCTGACTTCTCGGTGAATGATTTTTTTATGGAGGTACATAAAATCTAAAATTTACGGCCATGAAGAAATTCAAAACTTGGAGCAGTTAAGGCAGAAAATATTTAATGCCTTTGACACTGTCACCCCTGATATGTTATCCAATGTGAGGAGGGGATTTTATGATCGTTTGGGTTATTGTTTAATGCAAGAGGGAGGCACTTTTGAACAATTTTTGTAATTTTTTAAATTTCATTATCCTGTTTTTTTTACCGTTTACCCATTACCTACCTTGACGAACATGGGAAAACGAAGGTCCTTTTCAGGACCACAAATATTTTGATTGAGAAAATTGGTAACTTTTTTTGGATTAAAAAACAAAAGTTGTTAATATAATACCAATTTAAAAGTGTTTTAGTAGTTTTAATACACACTATGATATAAAATTTATTATTATTATAATGTACATTATTAATACTATTGTTCATTCGAAATGGCATTAAGGCCCAATTGCAACAATGATTTAAATTTTTCTTAAAGATAAGTAGAGCTTCGAATGAGCTGTATTTATATTTACTTTAATATTCACCTTAAATGAGGGAATTTGACTGATACAATTTTTGAATTTGAATTGTTTTTAATGATACTAACAATTTTAGTTCAATTTTTAATAAAAGTTATTTAATATTAATAGAAATCCAAGAGATTTGAAACCTCTTTTAGCGATTTATAACATTCTCAAATGAATTACAGGTGCCCTATTTTCTATGAAAATCACACAGCTTTTTTCATAGTCGCTGCAGTTGCTATAGCTATAAAAACTAATTTTTTAAGGTGTGAAAATTGCGACACACGCTAAATGGACTTGATTTTTCGTATGTCTCGAAGTCTGTGGACCTTTTTGTATGCCTCGATAACATATTGGTGCAGATTATTTTCACCCAAACAAATAATAACCCAAACTATACATTGATGCGGATTGTCTACGAACTCTTTCTGAATGTCACAGAAACCTGAACACGTAATTCGGTGTTCTTTCGCATCTGTTATAGGTAATTTGTGCTAGTGTTGTACCTTTTATTAACATATTAATATGTTTTTTTTTTCGTAATTAATTAGTAGGATAGCATCGCATATGCCATAAGCGTAGTCAAAACATTTATCAAAAATATAAATATATCTTCAAGCAGCTTAGTTAGAAACATATGAGGCTATGGCGCATGGCGCTGTTTCGGGCACTATTTGGAACCATGGTAACAATTTGGTCTCGGGTGTTATATGTCTTTGTATTCTTTATTAGTTTAAATGTTTCCACGGTATCTATGACTTCTTAATCTCTGTCATTGCTATTACCATGGTTACGTCTTTACCCTATGGTTACGACACTGAAAGTGATGGAAATACAGAAAAAATCCGGTGGCTCTCAAAACTTTTTAAATATAAATCAATTTTTTAAAATGTTCAAACTTAAATAACTCAGTTATTTTGGACTTATTCTAAAAACGGCAAAGAGAAAATATGATTCTTTTATCGAGATCTACCAGCCCAGAAAATATTTGCACTTATTTAAGACTTAATTTATTAAAATTAAGAAAACCTAACGACATTACTAGAACGTAAGAGGCGAAGGAAGAAAATAATAATCAGAATTTCGTCTGCCGCAATCCACAAATCAAACCATCCTATCCGATTTTCAAACTCGATTTGTGTTCCTCCCAAAACCGCTGCCTCTCACCCAACGTAAATTTTATTCTACCCCCGCTGTCTCTCTTCCACTCTTTGTCTCCGTCACCTCCCTCTTGTTTCCTCTCGTTTCACGGTTTAAAGTGGTGCAAAAGGGTGGTTTCATATTCGCGGCTGGCCGAACGTTCAATAACGTGCGAAGTGGAAGGCAGCGAAGTGAAGAGGGGGAAACCCAAATCTAGCCGCCTGTTTTCGAAACAAGAAACAGGCGTTCGAAAGATTTTAGAACTGAATAAAATCAAGGAGGGATGTCTGCTAGGGATGAGCGATACAATGCTTTTTAAATCACAGTGTTAATTGATACTGTCATTTTTGAAGTGAAAGCCGTGACACACGAGCTAGTGGTGGTAACGATCGAAAGAGTGGTAAGCCAACCCAAGTAGCATTTTCACGACTTGCGATCATATTTTTACTAAACACAACGTTGGATTAGTTACAAAAAATAGTTAGTTCCGTACCTTGGGTATTAAAATAAATGTAAACGTTTTTGTAAGGTTGTGCCGACGTTGAACTAGTACTACTACAAAGTAAAAGCTTCTGCGACGTCGAATAAACGTTGTCTTCTAACCTTTTTTGCTTAAGTGATCTTTAGGTGGTTCGGACAACGTAGGTACAATGTTGGGCAATAAAGAGTTTTCCGACGTCACTTTCAGGACCTATTCCAACGTTATGCAAACGTCGTCTGTTTTACTAATTCCAACATTGTTTAGATTTCATTTTTCTTACGTTGGTAGGACGTCGGGCCACTACCTTTTTGCAACTGTATTGAACCATAACCTGAGAGAGAGAGAGAACCTGGTATAGCGACCCTAGCAAACAACCCCCAGCTAGGTCGCGACATGTGGTGGAGGCGCCGGGCTGTTATTATTTCCGATATTAGAACCGGTATTCCTATCTATATCTATTATACGATAGTCGCTGCTAAAACCGTCGATAGTTCTTAGTCAAGTCGGCCGGCTGGTACCAATTCAGTGCGCGTTGAGCTTAATATTTTCGAGATACAGCCGGGAATAGTGGAACACATGAAAACAATTTTAGTCAAAAACGTTCTTGGCTAAAACTGTCTTGCTCTTTGTGTGCGTCCAGCCTAAGAGAAAATCACGCAGACGACAGTTAATGACAAAGTCAGTGACTGGTGTCAAACACAACAGAAAACATTCGTACAAGTAACTAAAATAAAAGAGTGTTTGAAAGGTTGTCTAACTTGGCTATAATGTTGCATAGTTCAGATAGGGCTCCAAAGTGTCGCCACCAAAGCGTCGTCACGGTCGTCACTATCATCACTTGTCACTGTCATCACATGACAAGATTGACAAGTGATGACAGCAAATTATTTTTATTTTGCCACGGTATTTTGCTATAAATTTTGTTATTATTTTGTGTAGCATATTATTTGTTTGTTTGTTTTGTGTTTATTATGGGGAAACTTATATTTCTCTATGAACCATAGACATAAGGTCATTTCTCTATAATTTGAACTTTATATTTTGTGCTGTGTATTTTGCCGTCATCATGTAATATTTTATTCAACCGATGATGTGATTTAAACACGATTCCGGAAAGGGTATCATGCAAAGCAAGTTCGATATGTAAAGACATTGCCCATCTCTGAACTCCGTGAATGTAAAACGAACTGACTATAAATTCGCGCCTTCATTTCATAGCATAGCATATATTACAAACCCTGCGATCTTATATGCTTTGTTAGTGGCGTTGTTAAATACGTTTTATAATACTATAGGTCAATTATCAATTCATTAATCAATTAATTTATCAATCATATCAAAATCATTATATTATCAAATTTAATTTAGCAATTAACTGTAAGCATTTGAAAAGTGTACAATAGTTTATACTTTTCAGATATTTCGCTTTTAAAAATAAATTTTCTTCATGCCTTTTGCAGTTTTAATTTCCTAATATTTTTTAAAATACATAAAATGTTGTATTCACATTTAAACTGCCCGCCTTTTTCCTGGTAGGCAGTGCAGATACCTATTTTACCGATTCCGTCTGTCATATTTCCATTAGTTCAGTTAGGGCTCAAGGGTGCGCTACTATCGGTCCTGGCTAAACGTGTTGCCTACTTTTGACCATGGAAATGACAACTCTTTTATTTTATATTTCTCTATGACTAAGAAACTAAGAAAATCTCTTCTTTCCAAAGCGACACTCACCTGTTCCTGTAGAGACGGGCGTCGCTCCTGCCGCACCACCCGACGCGTAGGAGGGGTGCGTGGTGGGCTGGGCGTGGGCCACGGCGGGGTTACAAGCCGTCGCCCTCGAGTTATACGAGGAACTCAAGGAATGCAGGGGGTCGTGGAACATGTAGGGGTAGCCCGCGGCATCCCTTTGCTGCAGACAGCTGGAAGTCAGACCGCCGGCCATCGGGCTGCAAAAGAACAAGAAAAATGTGTCAGTTATTTGGGGAAATGTTCATCTACTTGGTATTAGAAAATACACCAATTTGATTGGCAATACATATTGCCAAATGTAGAATACAACCGAAAGTCAGTGCATGTGAACTCTCAAATGTAGTGCATCTTATTGTAAAGGAAACTAATTTAATTGTCATCAATCTTTCATAATTTCATTCACAAAAACACGTTGTGAGATGCAGAGCGTGAAAACGCACCTTAATTGTCTCAGCAGTGGCTTACTAATAAAACATTTACCTAACGGACAAAAAAATTCTTAACGTTTCTGAGAGTATATCTCTTTCCGTCGTCGGAAGCAAAAGAAAATACAAAGAACAAAGAAAGAAAAACTATTTAAAATATCTAAATGCAGCTATTCCAGAACACTTTATTTAGCTTTTTTTTAAACAGATACGTCTAGAAAAACCGTTGACGTTCTGTTAAAATGACATATCAAGTTAAACTTCAAAATTAACAATCACTTAATAATAATATAATAATATGATGTTTATTTATATACTCAATAAATTACAATGTATCAATAAATATACAATAAACATAAATTTACCATTACCATATTATTATAAAGTTTTTTGTGCGAGGTTTTCTATGCGATCAGCAAATCCAAATTCAGATTACATTCATACATACACCCTAAAAATAAAACTAAAATACAATATGTTAATCGTTTCCATAATATAATTCTGACCACTACTTATTTTTTCTTATTTTTCTATAACTTGCTATTGCTATCTTTATTAACATTTTTCTATAATACTCAATAAAAATAATTCACAGAATAATTATCAACAAAAAAAAATATAAATAATAAAAACATATTAATCTTAATCTATAGTTAAAATATCCTAATCTTTTTACAACGGTTTCACAAAAAAATAATTTATAAAGATTTGTTGCAATTCGCTCGCGTCCGATACGGAGGTGCTCGTTTCACGTTCGTTTCAGGAAATATATTAGATATGTCTTGCACCTTGCGTTTTCTTTCGGAACCCGGTATATCTTCTCTTGGTAGATCTTCGCTATTTCCAATATTATTATGATTTAGTAATTTTCTAGTTTCTTGAGTTTGCAGTTTTTCTACCTCAGTCTGCGATTGTGGATAATTGTATGAATTCATTTCTTGGAGAAATGACAACGTTCTGGATCCGGATGCTTCTTGATAATACTTTTCTTTAAAATCGCCACTTGTATAACTAATACCATCAATTACTAATTTATTTCCTTTTAGCTTAGCGTTTCTGTTTTGAGCTTTTGCATCTTTCAGTTTTTCGACTAAAACCTTTTTGTTCACTCTGTCTTCTGCTACTAAATCTTCGTCTATAAATATATTTGTTCCTCTGAGTTTTCCCTTATTTTTAAGGAGTTCCGTCCTTTTTAAACAAGACACTAAGCTTATAAGGATAGGTCGATCTTTGGTTATATTTTTTCCAAGTCTAAAATACTCCGATAAATTTTCTATCTTCAAATTTATATCGAGTTTTTCTTTTACAAGATCTATTATGGATTCCACAAGATGTTCACTATTTTTCTCTGGCATTCCATATATTAGCAAATTGTTCTTCTTTAAAAGTTTTTGTGTAAGACATACTTGATGTTTTAATTCCTTATTTTCTGTTTCTAATACTTCAATTTTACTTTGAAGGAAAAAAAGCTGCTTATCAACTTTAGAGCTGAGATTATCTAAGTCTGTCTTAATGTTATCAATCTTATTGCAAACATTTTCGTTAATATTATTCAAGAGCGTGTATAAATCCCCTAATTTAATTTCTTCATTTCATTTTATCGATAAACAGCAGTAAATTTTGAGACACTTGACAACACCGTTGGGATGGCTTGTAAGGTTGCTTGCTAAATATTGCAAATTCTTTAAATTCTTCTATGTGATAGTATTTTAGAGATATTCAAAAACTACTTTTCGTGAAGTCTGAATCAACTGATTTTCATTCACCCGTTCTATCTTAATATACTTTATAACTTGTAATTTGAATTTTCTAATTTATTTCATAGATAACTCCACTTTTTGAATATATTTAACGGATAAAATTCTAATTCACATTAACACTTGACCTGCGACCAAAAACAATTGGTACTTAACAAGGTAAAAACAGGTCAGGGGCCGGAAAGTGAAATAGCAAAAGCGGTTCCACCGTTTCCACGGAAATTTACAAATAAAATAGTTCCAGCCTCGGGCGCTAGGTGGTAGTGCAATTAATTTTTAGGTTAAAAAGTTGCTACTAGTTATTGCCAGATGGCGTTCAATCAGATTTTTTTTGTAGTTTCCATAGTTTCCAACGGCCATTGTCATATTATTGTCAAATTCTCAAAAAATATTGTCGTTGTCATAGCGCCAATCATAATATTATCCACAAAACATCCCCCTTTAGAACTTTTTCTTTAATGGCCATAAGCGGGAGTAAAAGCCCAACCGCCCGAACAAACACTAGAGGTGCCACCGGTCATCAAATGGCGTAAAAATTGCGAAAATTTAATCTTCTAATTTTGACACAAGGGGTCGGGCTCAACTTTTTCAATTTTAATTCAATATTCATTGTTTTCAAACTATATTATTAGACTTTGTTGTATTTTGTGAATGTATAAATGTTTTCTAAGTATAAAGTTGCATTATAATAATTTAAATTATATTACATACGTACTTAAAATTCAAATATTATGACATATATGTCAGTTGCCGTCTAAAATGTCATCTTGATAACAAAAAGTTAGTTATTGTCAAAAGTAGTTAAAATCATGTTAAAATATTAAAATTTACAAGTTATAATTAGATATTTTATATTATTTCAACAACAAACACATAATAGTACAGCGTAATGTTGATATGCAGGTTCAAAACAAAAAGTGCCGTTATATTTTTCAGTTTTCGTTGTCAGCCGCGGAAATTTCAGTGATTTTAGTGTTGTCGGATATTTTTATTTGTGAAATAGAAATATTGCGTTTGGATTACAAAACTAAAAGTGGAGTTTTATTGCAATGTAAGTAAGCGTTTGTCCATTTTATATTTTACTTTTTTCATACCTACCACAAATATACATATATTGAAATTTTATAATTCGTTTTATTTAAAAAATGTTAGTAAACAAGCTTGTAATCCTGTAATTGACATAATTGTTATGTAATATATTCCATTTAAATGTAATATATTACTTTACAATTAAAAAAATGTAAATTTAAAAAATATATTAAAATATATACAGACATTAATTGAAATTTTTTGAGTGCGAACAAACACGAGAGGCGCTTTATTATTTACTTTCATTTCTTAACATGACAGACGAAGTTCTAAAGGGGGATGTTTTGTGATATTATCAAAAATAATTATCAAAACCATCAAAACGTTTTTCAAACTAATTTGTTATATGCGTTTTTATTAGACAATTCATTTTGTTTGTGGCCCTAAAAATATAATGTAAGTCATTTATTTTTGCTATCATTTAAGTACCTATTTATATTTACTCCATTTACAAAATTTTAGGCGTATTACGTTGGTCTTGTTTTATTATAATAAACGATGTTTAAATATTTGACTTATAATTAAAAACTTTAAATAATAAATAATATTTACACATGTTTGGCTTTAATTTTATTTAATAATTGTATAAATTATACTGTTAAATCTTATTTTTTACACATCACAACGATACTTGTTATTAGTATTGTTGAATTTGTGTAAAAAATAAGATTTAATAATCAAATTTAATTATATATTTTAGAGTAGAATTCAATAAATACGCTCATTTAAAAAGCCCGCGCTTCGATCCATTTAAAACAAGCCCTACTCAATAGATGGCGCCACTTCTGTAGGACCATTTTTCAGTATGGCAGAGTCCATTCTTTTTCTTGCTAGGTATATTCTTCGGTAAAAACCAAAAAGGGGGGGGGGGGCTTCAAACTTTCTGTATGATTATTTTTAATTTGTTTTTAATTTTTACGTATGTTATGTTTACTTATGTTCTGTTCTTTAAAATCAAAGAAGCGATTGAAATACATTACTAATATCTACAGATGCATGAGCAATAAAAATAAATGAATTGCTCATGCATCATTTGCACATAGACATTTTTTATGTACTAAAAAGGTCCAAAACTGGCAAAAGAAGCAATACGACATAAAATTTAACCTATCATGAACCTATACCGTTACAAAACTAAAAGAAAAAACAATTCCTTCAAAACGTTATAATTATATATGTTCCCCGATAGAAAAAAAAGAGACAAAAAAACTCTAAAAGGCATTTTTAAGCTCTCGTATTTCGAGCTGAACCATGAAGTAGTAAATCAGGTATGTAGCAGCGGGGGGGCTGGAACTTCTAAATACCACTTGTCACTTCATAATTCTCCATCTCGGCTACTGTTCGTATTTATACATTCCATTCCTTCTGACAGGAAGACATGGGATTTCTGTGTATACTTAATTAGATTTTTTTTCTCCTTTTTTGGTATACAGGTATGTAGATATGTTAAAACGGAACGTCGAGATAGCAGCGATATTTGAGCCTGTATTATTTGTCAGAGGAAACCGTTCTTCAGAAATACTTTAACCAAATCGGAGGTTTTAAAATATATACAAACTTGATTTTAATCAATTCAGAATTTGTGTTGAATGGATCTATTACAAATTAGAACATAACTAATATTCTGTTATAGAGTATGTATTTTGGAGAGCGGCGCGGCATAGTAGCGTCAATACAAGGGGATGTAATAAGTAACTGCAATCAAACAAAAAAAAAATCAAGTCCATTTAGCGTGTGTCCAAATTTTGACAAGTTTTCAAAAATGACAGTTTTGTTTAGACTGACGTTTAATTTCACCTGACTTCTCGGTGAATGATTTCTTTTTATGGGGGTACATAAAATCTAAAATTTACGACCATGAAGAAATTCAAAACTTGGAGCAGTTAAGACAGAAAATATTTAATGCCTTTGACACTGTCACCCCTGATATGTTATCCAATGTGAGGAGGGGATTTTATGATCGTTTGGTTTAATGCAAGAGGGAGGCACTTTTGAACAATTTTTGTAATTTTTTAAATTTCATTATCCTGTTTTTTTAGCGTTTACCCATTACCTACCTTGACGAACATGGGAAAACGAAGGTCCTTTTCAGGACCACAAATATTTTGATTGAGAAATTTTTTTTTTTTTTGGATTAAAAACAAAAGTTGTTAATATAATACCAATTTAAAAGTGTTTTAGTAGTTTTAATACACACTATGATATAAAATTTATTATTATAATGTACATTATTAATACTATTGTTCATTCGAAATGGCATTAAGGCCCAATTGCAACAATGATTTAAATTTTTCTTAAAAATACGTAGAGCTTAGAATGAGCTGTATTTATATTTACTTTAATATTCACCTTAAATGAGGGAATTTGACTGATACAATTTTTGAATTTGAATTGTTTTTAATGATACTAACAATTTTAGTTCAATTTTTAATAAAATTTATTTAATATTAATAGAAATCCAAGAGATTTGAAACCTCTTTTAGCGATTTATATCATTCTCAAATGAATTACAGGTGCCCTTATTTTCTATGAAAATCACACAGCTCTTTTCATAGTCGCTGCAGTTGCTATAGCTATAAAAAACGAATTTTTTAAGGTGTGAAAATTGCGACAAACGCTAAATGGACTTGATTTTTCGTATGTCTCGAAGTCTGTGGACCTTTTTGTATGCCTCGATAACATATTGGTGTAGATTATTTTCACCCAAACAAATAATAACCCAAACTATACATTGATGCGGATTGTCTATGAACTCTTTCTGAAGGTCACAGAAACCTGAACGCGTAATTCGGTGTTCTTTCGCATTTGTTCTAGTTAATTTGTGCCTAGGCGTTGAAACAGTTTTTTTTTATTTTGTCAATCACGTCGCAAAAATTAATACTTTTGTGACGTTTTAAAAAAAATTGTATTTGGCTAGCTTGGTTTTGTTAGAAACACTTACTTATTTACATACCTTTCAAATGTCAAAAATAAAATTGCCATACCCGATCTATTTGTTTATGCGAGATATGTTACAGAAATTAAAATTGTCGTATACGCCTAATTAGTACCATCAGAACGTATCTCTTTACTAAACAGAGTGGCCGCTTTATTAATAATTCATAATATTTTTATAAATCCGTCTCGAGAGCAACGACGACGGGGCCAGAAGGACTGAAAATACGGTCTGTCCGTTTTATCTCTAATCCGGCATCAGCGTCCAGCTCAAAGTGTCCGTTCGGATGGGACGTGACGTGTGACGTGCCGACTTGCAGCTTCGGTTTGCAGCACTGATCACGTCATACCTTCGGATCTCTAATGGACATTCTATGGCAGAGATATTTCGGCTAGGACCAGAGGTGTGGTGGCCGGGTGTTTCTCATAGTGTAGGTGGCTCACGCCTATAATTTTTTCATTTTGAAATTAGATTTCTTTGCTCGCATTGGGAGTAAAAATTCAAAGCCGTGACATACGGCTTTGCATGACGGTCATGAGACGCGCGACCACAGTTCCCAAGTAGCATTTGGACGTTATCGAACGTCGGGTATACGTCGCGTTCAATAAACCCGACGTCGGATACCAACGTCGGTTCGACCGCCTGACGACCCTTATTTGCACCTAAATGGGGAATACAGATACGGGTCGCCTCGACGTCGGTATCTGACCTAATAAGGAATGTAATTCTACCAATTACCAACGTCATATTACGTTGGATTTTAGTCACTTAAAATTCGTCGCTAAGCACTTACGTTACGTTTGGTTTCATATTCGCTACCAAGAATACATAAAAACCTAACCAAACTACCTAATTACAAATGGATTCATAATCGCTCCTCGAATATAACTATAAGTGCCTATCTAATTTCATATTATAATAATTCTGAATCAGTAATCCAGACATCAGTTTTGTCAACGGAAGTCACTTTTTTGATATATCTGATTAAAATACTCCGGAAAACAACGAGCACCTTCAAAATTAGCTAGATTTATGAAATAAAAATATCTATAAAAAAGTAACTCGCAAAATATTTTTTTAATTTTCTAGCTGGTTTAATCATAAAACTGTACTGTGGTTCCCCCCAAACTCAACGTTATCAATATTATTCTACTAGAAATCGAAATGTGAATATAAATTTTAAAAACAAAAAACGATTTTAAAATGGCTGACAATCGGATAGTTGTGTCCGACTTAATATGAACTACCAATATACCAATTCCGACCGGGTCTCCAACATTAGTCGTCTCACACGACCGAAGTCATCAAACCGGACGACCGGCAATCGTATTATGACGTATATAATTCCAACGTACGCCACGTAATCTCACTTTGCGTATCAGTGATTTGTGGATTTGTGCAACTATATTTAAGTTTTTGTTTTCTCCTTAAAAAAAAATGGGTAGCCACTTTTTTAAGCTTAACCTCACATGTGGGAGGAGGACGAGGTCTGCTGGTTTCCTAAGCTAAAAAATGAAATTAAGAAGCACCAGTGTAGTGCAGCACCTCTTCCGGATAAAAAGCATTTATGGGTGGAGGCAAGACATCACTACTACTATTATTATTTTGCAAAAGCCTCGATCTCTTTCTGTAAAATGTAGATGAATGTCTAAATGCCTTTTTAGTGTTTTTTTTAGGCATAATAAAAAAATTAAGTTTGTTTACAAAAACTTTTTATTAGGTTATGTTCATGATGTTCATTAGGTCGCAAATGCTACTTAATGGGTTGTATTTACGGACGTAAATAGAGATACGTAAATTAGGTTATAAATATGAACATCAAATACACCAAATATAATTGGACGTTACTTTAGGGATTATCAGTGAGACGTATCCTATTCGGACAACGGGTAGACGTCGGGCTAGTTCAAGTATATGTACGTCGTGCAAGCCAACGTGGGAACGACGTTGGGAAATTAATAAAAATGGTACGTTGTTATTTTGTACGTCGACAGATCGTTGGATTTACCGACTCGGATCCAACGACGTCGCTTTTAATAGGAAAGCGACGTCACAGGTCGTATCACCAGCACCCGACCCAAATTTGCGCAAAGTCTGACGTCGCTTCAGGTCAGATTTAGTTCGAAGTCAGATAGATGCTACTTGGGTTGTGTTGCCTCAGCTACCCCATTTGGGGTAGATCTACCCCTTTGTAAAATATTTTAACCCCGCTATCTCGTGATAGTCTACCCCGATAAGAAATAAGTTTGTGGCAACATTGGGTAACGATCTGTGCTATACGCAGCTAAGAAAATCAGTATAATAAACTTGATACTGTACCAACCTCGAGCTTATTTTCATCGATAGGTTTGTAGCCTCTGAATAACGATCTAGGTAAAGCATCTAGCTCATTTGCCAGCTCAGAATTAGAATTTGGAGTTAGTAACTCGCATTTTCATTGTAGGACACTTTCATATTTATTTCAAACCACTAATCAACAAGAATATTCGTATAATTTAATAAAATTACTGTAATTACTATAAATAATGAATTGAACTGTAATTTATGTATTATTAGTTCGGTAAATGATGGAGATAAACAATTGTGATTGATTAAAATTTTATTTTAAGATGAAACTTTTGTTAACAACATTCTGAGAATTCGAATAATGAATTGAATAATGACAAGACATGATAATACATGAAGTACCTGTGAAACACACAAGTATTTCAATCACAAATTTCCCCACAGAGGGGAAGTTTTTTTAACTATTAAGATTATAATTATTGCCTTAATCGATCTACATACCTATAACTATCAGCCATGGTGGCAATAGGCTGTGGAATAGACGAGTACATCGAATTAAATCCGGAATTGATGGAAAGCCTGCTTGTCGGAACGGGAGGACTCACGGTTCCGACTTGATCAACTGCGCGTCTTTGATTGCGCAGTTTTTCTTCTCTACGCCATTTCGCCCTTCTATTACTGAACCACACCTGCAAAAAATAAGTCAAAATTAATATTTGCTATATATCATTTTTACGTTTATATAATCATATTCACAGAAATAATTCAAAGAAATTAATTCCAGATATCCTTTTTTTATAAATCGATGTGGGCACGGTTGTACCTCCACCAAGTAAGCCTCTCGAAGTGACTCAAGACACTTTTCATCCCGTTATAATTTCGTTCTGGGTGAAGAATGAATCTTAAACTTTAATCAAGAGGAAGTACTATATTGCCAATATTTCTAATAATTAATCTAAAACACCCTCGACACTATGCCCGAAATGTTTCACGAAATATTTCTGGAATTATTTCATGAAATATTTCACGAAACGTTTCTCGAAGTAAACCCAATGTTTTTCTCATGTTGCGGAGAATCTGGGCTTGTCTCGGCCGCAAACTCCGAGACAGATCGAAATCAACCGAGACAAGCCGTGATTGGTTGTTTGTTTTTTATTATTATTGGAATTGTCTCGGATGTTTGTCTCAACAACATTTTTATAACACGTGTCTATATTCTTTGTAGTACTTCGCGAAGCAATCAAGGTCAAAAGAAAGAGGTCTTCAGAAAAATAAGTAAACATGGAGGAGGAATAAGTATTATTAGTTTGTAAATAGAGTATAATATAATACGACTAAATAAAAATCACATGAAAAATCAAAAAAAGTGCATTTAGAAAACAGCTACTAAGTTAGTTAGGTAGATTAAATTGGATATTCCTCTAAGGTTACACAAGAATATTTCGTTTTATTTATTGCCTAATATTGTTACTTACAACATAGTAAAAAAATCTATTTTCAAACCTTAAAATCGTAAAACTGCAGGGCAACAGTGACTAAGTATTCTGGCGGTCCGCCTTTTATCGGCTTCTAATCCACAGTGTTTAACTATTTAAAAAGTATAATTATTTATTATTTTTGAATAGATTAATTTCAAACCATGCTGTGTCCTAACAGAAGTTTCGTTTACAGTCTTGTCTTAAAAACAACAATAGAACATTGCCTTTTAAAAATGTCCGCGGACCATGCTTTTATTGACATCGGGCAATCAATATCAATAATCTTCCCAATCAGCTCGATATATTTTAATGATGTTACCAGTATTGCTCATCAAGCAATTCTACAGATACGTTAATCAATTAAGGCCGTAAACAAACATAAAATATACTATTTTATATACTAATTATATATTCGTGCACATTAAGTGAAAAGGTTTGTTTATTAAATATCTACAAAAGGTACATATTATTACGCGTGTTCAAATATTAATATTGTGAAATATATATCAAATATATATCAACATAAAACGAGATGTAATTAAAGAAATATCAACAACAGGTATTTTAGAAACGTCTAGGTGTACTTATTTCACTAAGATTTATGAAAAAAAGTTCTTTGTCTCGGGTATAGATACCGACACGTCGTGGAAGTAGCTCGAGACAACAGGAAACGTTTCAGAGAACGAGACAACAGGAAACAAACAAAAGTCGCCAAAAAACATTTCCAACGCCCTTCTCCGCAATTTCGCAAATAAAAGTAGGTCAAGACAAGCGGAGAATACGTTTTTTAAGAAATGTCGTAGGTCAAGACAAACTATGACTCTATGTTATTCTGAGCTTTATTGAGGTTCCGTTTATAAAAAATATTGAGACTGATGCTGTTCTGGCTGGCTGCATTTGTACGAGAATAGACGCTACAATGATACGCGGATACTCAAAAACTAGCGGCGAGTTGGCAGTGAACATTTAATATGTGCTAATAAAAAGGCAGGTTGCTGTATATCCCCAACATTATTTAAAATTTATATTGCCAAGGGCTTGCATCTATGGAAAAGAAAATGTCATGGAATGGGTATAAAACTAAATGACATATGCTTATACACCTTGCAATTTGCAGACCGACCAGGCCATAATTACAAATGACAAAGATGATATGGAATATATGGTGCGAAAAACAATTGAAGAATATGCTAAATGGGGTCTCACAGTAAATACAGAAAAAACGAAATACCTTCCAATAGGAACAAATACAGAAAATCTTATTTTGGACAATAATATGGAAATTAAGGTATATGGAGAATACAGGTACCTGGGTTCTATTTTTGACAGCAGAGGGAATGGACGATAGAGATATAACCGACAGAGTAATACAGGCACGAAGAGTTATCAGATGCATAAATGAGATTCTATGGAGCACTGAAATTACAAAGAACAGGAAATATAATATATACGAGACACTAGTTAAAAGCATATTACTTTAGGGATGTGAAACATCTGAAAGGAATAAAAGAAAATTAGAGACAACAGAAATGGACGCGACTAGAAGAGCAATGAGAATTTCACGAAAGGATAAAATCAGAACTGAAGACATTAGACGACAGATGGGAATAGAAGGAACAATAATGAGTGATATAGAACAAAAACAATTAATATGGTACGGCCACGTTCAGAGAATGCACAATGAAAGAATTCCAAAACAAGTATATCATTGGATACCACCTGGTAAACGAAAGAGAGGACGTCCCAAGAAAACATAGATGGTAGGAATCAGAAGATCAATGAGCGAGAAAACTCTGTCTGAAGATCAGTGGAAAAATCAAACAAGATGGAAGTTAGGCATCGGACAACGTCGTAGGACGTTCTGACCCGAATGTATATATAAAATATAAAGGCATTATGCTAAAACTGAGCCGCAATAACAGCAGAAAACAGACTTAGTGTTCTGTTTTTGTAACAGCCGAAAACAGGTTTAGTGTTACTGCTATTCAATATTCATAATAATAATAATATGCAGAAATACACCACAGCTTAATCCTATGATATACGTATAAGAGACAAAGGCATAAATAAATAAAACTAACCTCGAGCATGGCTCCCTAAGCATCAGGAGGGGGATCGACCCAGCCCAAAAATTATAAAAAGTAAACATACACACGCATTAATTCATTGCGAATTCAGAAAGCCTGTTAAACACTCCAGTTTCGAGATTGTTTGCCAGAACGGAGGATGGATGCTGACCTTTCATAAGAAAATATTTGTTCGTTGAGCAAATAGGTTTATTAAAAGGGGGAATTTATTGTTGGTGGGAAGGTTAAATATGGAGAGGACACGTGTAAACCGGTAGGTATAATTTAAATTTCGGTTCTAGAATATTATTGTGAAAGATAATATTATAATTTTATAAAGTTATGTACGAACTAATTAAATGAAAATGTTCCTACTCCAAATACATTGCGATTTATTTAATCTGGCTTATACAGGGTGGCCCTCTCATACGCCGCGGAGTGTCCCCAAAAAAAGTTACATATCAAAGTTGGGTTTTTTGTAATGGAACACCCTATGTATTAATTGATTTCCGGATTCTGGGAGAAAAATAAAGGTGAGTTTTATAAGAGAAGTATATGACTAAAATGTAAGGTTTTTTACATAATTAACATTTTCTAAAATTAAAGAACAATTTTTAAATTACAATAAAAGCTACATAAATTGGAATTTACCCGGTATAGACTAATATGTAATTAAATTAACTATTGTACTTTAAATCAAATTAAAACTTGATCCGAAAAGTTATACAGGGTGAGACAAAATTAATATTGAACATTGGACACCTTTAAAAGCATGTTACTCTTTTAATTTAAATGGAACACCCAGTATATTATTCCGATATTCAATGGAGAATTCATGTCTCTTCAAAATACTATTAAGGTTGCCTACCCCTCAAACAAAGATTTTCCTAGATATTTCCATTTACATGATGATCTGAGTAGATCTTTATTATTTGATAAAATCTAGGTGGCTGTGATATGTCTGACGTTACTTCAACATATCTGTCTAATTAGTCCAATTTTAACAACTAGTTATCATTTTGTGTCAGTTAAAACAAAAAAAAGCTCAGAAATTTGCCGAAAGTGCAAACTTATCCTACATTAGAAAGAATTGATATGATTCTATTAGTTGATTAATGCAGTTCACCAATTAATAGACTACTTAAATGCTTCTGATTTTATCTAGTCTGGGTTTTTTTTATGGGGGTATATTAAAAACAGTGTTTACAAAACTCACCAACTATTGTCGACAACATGAGAGAAAGTATTGTAGCTGCTTTTCGAGGTAGAACTCCACATATGCATTCTAAAATGAAAAGATCCTTTTGAAAAGACAAATCATTTTGTGCAGTTAACAGGAAAGCAAGCATTTTGAGCATTTGATTTCATCTAGCTAATTTTTGTCAGATAATTATAGGTTTATATCTAGTTTTAACTCTGTAATAATAAAAATATGTTTTGATTGTGTATCTTTTTATTACCGTTGAGTATTTTACTCTACAACATTTAATTTTTGTTATATTAACAAAAGGTATATTATACACAACCACCCTAGATTTTGCCAAATAATAAAGATCTACTGACGCAAAATCATAATAATTAAAATATCTAGGAAAATCTTTGTCTGAGGGGTAGGCAACCTTAATAATATTATGAAGATATATAAATTCCCATTGAACACCGGAAAAATATACCGGGTGTTCCATTTAAAATAAAGGAGTAACTTGCTTTTAAAAGTGACTAATGTTCCATATTAATTTTGTCTCACCCTGTATAACTTTTCGGGTCAAATTTCAATTTGATTTAACATACAATGGTTACTGTAATTAAATATCAGGCTATACAAGGTCAACTAAAATTTAGGTAGCTATTATCGAAATTTAAAATTTACTCTTCATTTTCACAAAATGTGAAGTATGTCAAAATCCTTAGATTTTAGGTATATGCTTCTTTTATAAAAATCACCTTTATTTTTTTCTTAAAATCCCAAAATCAAATAATGAAATATGTGAAATATGTCAAAATCCCCCTCGCAAAATCCTTAGATTTTAGGTATTTTTGTGACGTTTGAAAAAAAAAATATTTATTTATTGTGTTCAAAGGCAACGGATTCATCTAATTACGTTAATTTAATAAAAAATGATTACACAAAGGACAAAAACCATT